CCGATTACTGTTTGGGTTTGAGGCGACATTGATACGGCGAAGCTACATGCTACAAGCTACATGCTACAAGCTACGTAGTAGAGATGACTTTATCAGGAAAAACACCACTAAATAAAAAGGAATGCAAATATTAAAGGTGGGGTAGGTAAGTTTGAGAAACCGGCTCGAGATACACTTTTTGTTATATTCCATGGAATGCTCTTAACATCCCGATAGCAATGAATATCTTAAAGTGGAGCTATCATGCTATATTTGAATAATATAGTGTAGGACCATACCTATATAAGGCATATTTATACTTTTTTTTTTTCAAAATACCAAACAGATCATGCATTTTAGCCATGCCTCATTTTGCTCAATTTGACATTTTTTAGCTCTGTTTTTGCAAGGGCAGATTATGTGAGAACAGCACCATCTACAGGCCTGGCATATGTACTACAGCGTCTCCAGCGCTTTCGAACGGCAATGGCCGTGGCTGTCTCCTCCTGATTGGTGGAGTTGGCCCAATAGCCGTAGCGCCACTGTCCTGACGTCAGGACAGTGTTCAAATCTGGATCAGTTTTTATCAGATCCGTTGCAGCCCCTTTTTTAGAGATTTGGGTATGGAGGAAAATAGAGAGGGTTGTGTTTTCTGACACTTGGTGAGTTCCCTGGAACACCGGGGACACATATTCATGTATAAAAGACGTACAAAAGTGCATTTTGCATGATAGGTCCCCTTTAAGTGCTTTGACAAAAGATCCAAAAAAACATTTCATCTGTGGAAGCCGTAATACTGTAAAAAGTACGACCAATCATTTTAGCCGGCCTGGCTAAAATAACTGGATGGCCTACCTGCCTGTCAGCCTTCCATCTGTGCACAAACTTATCTCGTGCCCTCATTGGTCATGTGCACGTTCGTGTGTGTTGGAGGAGGGGCTCTGTAAGGAAGTGGCAGATTTTTTCCGGCTGTGTATTTTCAAATTCTAGCGCACTCGAGCTGGTTTCTCCAAAATTACCTACCCCACCTTTAACATGGAAAAACGTACAGCTTCCAAATTGGATGTGTCCTGGTCCCGGATGGTTGGTATTGATCCAGTTTTTAGCCTTAGATTGGAAGCATAGCCTCTTTTCACTTGAGGGAAGTTGATAAACATGTCCGAGGTAAAATGTTTAGACCACACAAGCAGACATTTGCCCAGGTGTTCTGGCACATTCCCCTTGAAAATGAAGTCCAGCCACAGATTCTTCTGTTTTTCCAGGGATGGCATTGCATGCAGTCCCTTGTCCCGATTTTTGCAGCCAACAACAGCACAACTTTTCACTGCCTTAGACATGCTGGCAAATTACACAGATGGGTATTTACAAACTCTTCAACTACAACCGTAGTTATATTTAAAAAAATGTTAGAAGGCCTCACGAAATACTTTAATGTAAATTAAAATGTAAATGTGAAGGAATGTGTGTATATTAACTGTGGGTTTTTCTCTGGAAGTTTTTCCTTGTACGATGTGAGGGTCAAAGGACAGAGGAGGCCGTTTTTCTCATACTGATATTCTGCACAAACTGTGCTGTTGCATTTACTGTAAAGTGTCCTTACTGTAGGTATTTTTATTTTTATTTTAAAGCACGTTATTGAATTTTATAATTGTATTATTAGATATTAATAGGATCCCTATAAAGTATATTCTTTATTTGTCGTTATTCTCTACTAATAGTTAATTAAAGACTGTATATAATGACTATTTTGCACATCCCTTTCAAGATTTTAAGATTTTCTAAGGTTTATTGACATTAAAGACTGTATATAATGACTATTTTGCACATCCTTTTCAAGATTTCAAGATTTTCTAAGGTTTATTGACATATCATACTATACACAACTACGGTGTAGTTATGCAATGAATGAAAAACTTGGGTCGCAGGTTCCTCAACAGTGCATTACAAGACATCTATCAATATGTGTGTACGTCCACCATTACATTGTCATATTCTGCACATTTCTTATACTATCTACATATATCTTATAAGAGTATAATACATATGTATAATATCAGTTAAAATAAGTGCTTAAACATAGTTAACATTGCTGGAAAGCAATATATTAGACGTTAAGTACTTTGTCAGGCTTAATATTTATCTGTAGATACAAATGTCACTGTGTGTGCTGTGTGCTCTGCATGTGTGACCATCAAAGAGGGCTTCATCCCTCGATATTCATCTTCGATACACCCAAAGCTTTTTTCTTATTCAAAAGAAGACCTTAACCTAAAGTATTCTTTAATGTTTAAATAAAGCCTTATTAGTTTGTCTGTTTTGCACATCCTCCTATTAATATCTAATAATAAAATTATAAAATGCAATAACGTGCTTTAACCAGTAGGTGTCCCTTTCTATCAGCTGTGCACCGTTATGGCGTAAATATAGCCTATCTACCAATTGGATCAAATATAAAAGTCAGCCGAATTAGTGTTGATACTGCAAGGAGACGTATTGTGTGAAAAGAAATGTAAGATGTTGTTTAATTGCTTATATATTTAAGATCCACGTCAAGTTTTCAGTTTTGGCGGCAGTTCCTGTTTGTCTAGAAGTCTTGTCATCAGGGCAGAGTTAACTACGGCAGATATGTAATATTTAATGCAACCGAAACGTGTATTACAAATGCCGTTATGTGATGACTTTCAAAGAGAAAAACCCACAGTTAACACACATTTTTAAATATAACTACGGTTGTAGTTGAAGAGTTTGTAAATTAACATGAACCGAAGCTGTTGCCTGTTGCAATATACAGTCTATGGTTGCTACAGAGGATTGTGGGTAATGTAATGTCTTCGGCCATCCAAAACTCATAGAAAACTACTTGTTTCTCAGAATTGAAGGGGAAAACGTGACAAAAGCATTGTACACTAAAACCTATCAATGTCGTTTAATTAACAAGGATAATCTGGTGTTTTTGAGTTGATGAGTAGTGGAGATATCACTGTCAAATCAATCGACAGTAAGGGGAATACTTACTTCCAGGTGTACAATTCTCCGTTATCCAATGGGAATGGACGCTCACATTGCCTTTAACAGCCGCCGACACAAACGAATGCCGTGCTTCCATGAGCGTCAAATCCCGCCGCAGATGGGAATACATTGCAATCAGTTGAAAGCTATTTGCGTCCCTTTATGAAGCTGAAGGAGCCTAGGAGCGTCCCAACTGCACGCCTCGGGACCCTGACCAAGCATCGCTAATGGATGTTTATGGAGTGAGAGTGTGTTGGCTCATTGTAGCCCCGTTTTTTTAAAGATTTGGTTACGGAGGAAAATAGAGAGGGTTGTATTTTCTGACAGTTGGTGAGTTCCCTGGAACACCGGGGACACATATTCATGTATAAAAGACGTACAAAAGTGCATTTTGCATGATAGGTCCACTTTAAGTCAAGTAAATCAACTTCAAACGTAAAACCTTTCACTGAACTGTAACGACAGAAACCAAGAAGCACGACTACCAAACAGAAAGTCCAAAAATCTTCATCCGTTGAACAGACAGAAGTCAAATCAAGGAGGCAAACCTAACTAGGCAAGAAGATTGAAGGATTAGCCAATCAAGTGTCATGTTCATATTACCTCTGCTCTTTACAAGATCTAAATAATATGTGTAAAATATGTGTTGTTTCCACAGACTGAGAGCAGCTTCTCCTGATTCTGGCATGCACCCAATTAAGAGTGACCGGTCTAAAGACTTCAGTAATGAACCTGGACCCTCAGACACAAAGTAAGAGTTTCTACTGTAACCTGACCTCAAGAGGATTCAGATTTTATATATAATCGTATAATCTAAACTGTTCTTTCATAATTACATGAGCACAGTAGAGTACAGACACTCTGTAGAATGAAGTACAGAAATGCAGTAGATTAGAGTAAAGATTTGCAGTAAAGTACAAAAAGAAAGGCAGTAGAGAACTAAGTAAACTACTCCAGTAAAATAACACTCTCTCTCCACATGTAGGACCTCTGGTTAAGCAAATCAAATACAAACATGTGAAACTTCACAAATGAATTGTAATAACAAGCCACCAATAAAAGCATTAAAGTTCAGTCAACAAGGACGAAGAGGACAGTTAACAATATCTTAGGATATTTCAATATGCTATTATATTATCAATGTATCAGTGTTATGACATGTTCTTAAAATCACAATAATACTTGAAACAATATAAATTTTCCAACAAATGAGTTGACTACCTCAGCATCTTTTTTAGACGTATTTGAAGAGGTTTATTCATAATAGTAATAACCTGGTGAGCTGGTTGTGTTTAGCATTAGCAGATGTAACTGATTACATGTAGAGTCAATACAAAGACACACATGTGTACCTGGCAACACGAATGAAGTGAAGAAGCAACATTCATATCCCCCGTGTATTCACACAACTTGAAAAGTTACAACTTGAGTGTAAAGTTTGTGACGCTCTGTTACAAAAACAGTGTTGAGATTCTGCTCCTGTCGTCACTGACATGCTGAGATCAATCAGAAGAGGGAACATCAGCACCCAGAGCTCTACAGCACCTCATATTAAATCAGGGTTATTCATGTACCTGTATAAACCAGAGACTGTCTGTGGTGCTAACAATATAATAGCTGCTGTTCTTATGACTGGGTGGAGTTATTTTGAGTGTTGATGGATCAGCTACAATGTTAGCCTAGCCTAGCTTTAATGAAACCAATCTCCATTCAGAAAACAAACATTTTAAAGTGTTTTGCTCGTTGTGTTGCAGACAGACCTGACGAAGCATTAACTCAAATCAATATCATTATGTTGTTATTTTGGCATCCTTTCCATATGTTTATTGAAATGTATTCACAGCAAATTCAATGTAAATTGGGTTCAAAGTGCTAAAGTGTTCCAGATTAATTCAGCTGATGTTATGAATCCAGACACAAAGCTGTGTGGTTTCCTAATGATATGAATAACTAACCTCTATCTACCTTAGCAGGATGAACAATCATCTAGAGATACAGACTTTATTTTAAATATGAAACTAGAATTTGCCACATTGTTGTACCTTTGGTGAGAATCAGCTCCACTAATGTAAAGTGCTGTAAAGGATGTGTTCATCTCCACAGAGGGAAGAGGAAGAGTGGTGTTCCTGTGGAGCAGCAGCTGTCCAGCTGTGCTCTGTGTCAGGACGTCCTGAAGGATCCAGTCTCTACCAGCTGTGGACACGGGTTCTGCAGACAGTGCAACGCCTCATACTGGGAGCAGCTTCCTCCATCAGGAGACTCCTGCTGTCCTCAGTGTGGAGAAAGATGGAGCATTTTACAAAGTAAGAGGCCGAACACATGCAGCCTCTTTACCGCTGTCTGGGTGCTGGGTGTCTGCTCTTCTATAGAAACACTGTATCATCTGATCCCTTCTTCAAGGCTTTGGTTTTAAAGTGTGTACACAAATATTTCACGTGGGACAGCAGTGTTTCCCTAAGAAACGCTTTCTGTCTTACTCAGACATTACTACATTAGCCGAGCACTTATATAACATCTACGTATGATAGTATAAATATCTGGCAGCTAGTATTTGTGGTTCTTTCTGGAGTCTTCATGTCCAGGATCTTTTGTGTTGTAAAGTATAGACATTAAAATGTTTTATAAAAATCATGATATTTAAAACCCTGACTGTTCAGATTCTCAAAAGCATTTTCCTGATTCTCTCATGTTTCCTTCTCTTCCAGCAGATAGTGGTCTGCAGGAGGTTTTAGATGAACATAGGCTCAGTTTGAGGAGGAGATGTGAACCAGTGACTGAAGGAACTGATCAAAGTGAAACCCTCCTCAACAGGATCTTCACTGAGCTCTACATCACACAAGGCCAGAGTGAAGAGGTTAATACCCAACATGAGGTGAGGCAGCTGGAGACAGCTTCCAAGAAAGAGAACCTCCATGACACTCCAATCAAGTGCCAGGACATCTTTAAAGCCTTACCTGACCAACAGACTCTCATCAGAGCGGTCCTGACCAACGGAGTCGCTGGAGTTGGAAAAACCTTCTCAGTGCAGAAGTTCACTCTGGACTGGGCCGAGGGTTTGGGAAACCAAGATGTCAGTCTGGTGATCCCGCTCTCCTTCAGGGAGCTGAACCTGATCAAAGGTGAGCAGTACAGTCTTCTCAGGCTGCTCCATGTTTTCCATCCAACCTTACAGAAGGTCACAGCAGAGCAGCTGGCTGTCTGCAAAGTGCTGCTCATCTTTGACGGCTTGGATGAAAGCAGACTTTCTCTGGATTTCAGAAACAATGAGGTTGTGTCTGATGTCTCACAGCAGTCCTCAGTCAACGTGCTGCTGACAAACCTCATCAGGGGGAAGCTGCTTCCCTCGGCTCTCGTCTGGATAACTTCCCGACCTGCAGCGGCCAATCAGATCCCTCCTGAGTGTGTGGACAGGGTAACAGAAGTACGAGGCTTCACTGACGCCCAGAAGGAGGAGTACTTCAGGAGGAGATCGAGTGATGAAGACCTGTCCAGCAGAATCATCTCTCACATCAAGAGCTCCAGGAGCCTCCACATCATGTGTCTGATCCCAGTCTTCTGCTGGATCACTGCTGCAGTTCTGGACCACATGTTGACTACAGACCAGAGAGAAGACCTGCCACAGACCCTCACTGACATGTACTCACACTTCCTGCTGGTCCAGACCAAGAGGAAGAAGCAGAAGTATGAAGCGGGACATGAGACGAGTCCACAGCAGCTGACGAAGGCTGACAGGAAGGTTCTTCTGAAGCTGGGGAGGCTGGCGTTTGAACATCTGGAGAAAGGACACATCATGTTCTACCAAGAAGACCTGCAGCGCTGTGGTCTTGGTGTCACAGAGGCCTTGGTGCACTCAGGAGTTTGTACAGAGATCTTCAAAAGAGAGAGTTTGATCTTCGAGAAAACAGTCTACTGCTTTGTTCATCTGAGCATTCAGGAGTTTCTGGCTGCAGTCTACTTGTTCCACTGTTACACCAACAGGAACACAGAGGTACTGAAGGACTTCCTGAAGGGAGACTGGCCCGATGAGAACAGTAAAAACAGTGATCAGGATTACCAGTCCCTGGATGTCTTTCTTAAGGGAGCCATGGAGAAATCTCTCCAAAGTGAAAATGGCCACCTGGACCTGTTTGTCCGCTTTCTCCACGGCCTCTCTCTGGAGTCCAACCAGAGACTCTTAGGAGGCCTGCTGGGTCGCACAGACAACCGTCCAGAAATCATCCAGAGAGCCATCAACAACCTGAAGAGGATGAGAAGTAATGAAATCTCTCCTGACAGGATGATCAACATCTTCCACTGTCTGACAGAGATGAAGGACCACTCAGTACATCAGGAGATCACAGAGTTCCTGAAGTCAGAGAACAGATCAGAGAAGAAACTCTCTGAGATCCACTGCTCTGCTCTGGCCTACATGCTGCAGATGTCAGAGGAGGTTCTGGATGAGTTGGACCTGATGAAGTACCACACATCAGAGGAGGGACGACGGAGACTGATTCCAGCTGTGAGGAACTGCAGGAAGGCCAAGTAAGTCCAGATGTGATTAGCTTTATAAATTGATGTGGATCAGAAGTTTATTTCTTTAAATAAACACTATAAAATGTTTCATGTTAAATACTCTGAGAGCAAAATTAAATGATCCAGTTAATCTATTTCTATATTGTGACATTTTAACATTTATTTATTTTCTTCACATTATTTTGAGTGATGGAGGCGACATGTCGAACAAATGAAGGACTTTAGAGGTTTTATCAGAGCAGCATGTGATCACAACATACAGCAGTATTTACAGTTATCGGTGAAAGCAGTTATTAATTTATCATTGCAGTTTCTTAAACATGAAATCAGATCTGTTTTTACCACAATGCTTAAGAGTTTAAAATAATGTCTGACAGGCTGACAATGAATAAAGAAAACTCTATTATTAAATGAAATGTTCATAATATGTTAAAAGTTGTTCCATTTCAAATTCAGTAAGTTAATTAAATGTTTCCTCTGTTTTTATACTAACACAAGTTGTGATATATGTGTCATTATAGACTTACTGGCTGTGGACTCTCAGAGACTGAATGTGAAGTCGTGGCCTCAGCTCTGAAGTCTGACCCCTCTCACCTGAGAGATCTGGACCTGAGTAAGAACTATCTGAAGGATTCAGAAGTGGAGCTGCTGAGTTCTGGACTAAAGAGTCCAAACTGCAGACTGGAGGCTCTCAGGTCAGTTCACTGACTGCAGTTCATACAGATCTGTTTGTATTCATGATTTTCAGAATTTGCCTGAAGACATTTTAATGCTTTTAACTTTTTCTGTATTTCCAAATGGAAATGGAATCCAAACTTTAAGAATAACAAAGATCAGAGAAGGTGAATGTGTGACGGAGAGTGTTTGAGCTTCCACAGACTCACTCTGTGCTCCATGAGTCAGTGGAGATGCTGTCAGTACTGATGAGCTGTGAGGGAGATGAAGGAGTTGTTAAACATCTGATGAGAGAAACTGCTGCAGAGAGTTCCAGATGATCAGGGATTTGTTTCTACATCATTGCTGACGTTAAAACATTGTTCAGCTCTGATCAGATTATTAAAACATTGAGTTATTTCAAACAGGAACATTGTTTTCTAAAGTTACTTCATGTTTTCTTTATTCAGTCTGAGGGGCTGCAGTTTGTCAGAGATCAGCTGTTCTGCTCTGATCTCAGCTCTGAAGTCCAACATCCATCTGAGAGATCTGGACCTGAGTTGGAACGATCTGGAGGATTCAGGAGTGGAGCTGCTGAGAGATCTTCTGGAGAGTCCAGACTGCAGACTGGAGACTCTCGGGTCAGTTCACTGACTCTCTGTTACTGCTGGAGATCTCATGTGTTTCATTAACAGTTGAACCTAATGCTTGAACAACCATACATGTGTATATGCCGTTGTGAGGGTTTTCCTGCTCACCCAGTTAAAAAGGACAGAAGGAGAGGAAGGCTTGCTTAAAAGAAAGCTTTATTGACTGGCCACAGCTTGCTAACAATACATCAATACTTTAGGAAACAGACAGAACACTGCTGCCAGTGACAGGATTTCTTGGGGCAAGTCATTCTGCCCCCAGGACCCAGACCAAGAGACAAGAACCAGGTCACTGACATGCTTTACTGTTCACCTGGTTACCTGATCCTTGTCCAGCTGTCTGGAGCCACCCCCATCCCTCCAGCAGCCGGCGCTCTAACCACACCCCACTGCCACAGTCCTTTTGTTCATATTCTTATTTTTCTTGTACTACATTTAGTCTGCAGTCATAAAAGTTGACTGTTTCTTCAAATATATATGTTAGATATCCACTGTTAGTTGTTAAAGTAAATGTATGTTGTCTTTAGTAAATGGTCACATCTGAATAAAGAAGTTCATCTGAACTAATATTAGTTTTACATTGATCTCTGGAGCATACATGTGTTTCTTGCTTCCCATTGATTTCAATGTTTTCACAGATAATAAACAGAAAGCTGATATTATGATGATCCACAATAACAGAAAGACAGTCACTGTAATTCAGGGAAAAGCTCATTGATTAGGAGACAGGAATGTTGAGCTACACTTAATAAACTTGAACATCTGATTGGATTATAAACACATTTTTATCCTCATCATGTTTTCTTTATTCAGACTGAGAGACTGCAGTTTGTCAGAGATCAGCTGTTCTGCTCTGGCCTCAGCTCTGAAGTCCAACATCCATCTGAGAGATCTGGACCTGAGTTTCAACGATCTGCAGGATTCAGGAGTGGAGCTGCTGAGAGATCTTCTGGAGAGTCCAGACTGCAGACTGGAGACTCTCAGGTCAGTTCTCCATCTGTAACTTGTGTGCTGAGATGAATATGTGAGAGTTGTGTTGACTCTGAGCTGCAGACATCAGGCTGATATCACTCTGATCCTCACTGAGCATCTTAATGCTAGAGTTGCATAATGCAATGTTGATCTTTACATTTAAATATAACAACAAAAAACCTTCACTGCAGAATTCACTCTGAACCTTTTAAACAGCTGAAATTCATCTTGTATTCTCCATCATGATTTTAACAAATGATATCAAATAATTCTATTAAAACTATCCAACACTAACAAGTATGTTCAGTTGTTGCTGTTTCCAACATGTTCCTGAAGCTACATGATGCTCATAATGACTGAATAGTTTACTCTGAAGATGCTGTGATTTGATGACTCCACTGTTCCTAAAATACATATTCTGGATGTTTTTCTTCACATTTAAAATTCATCCTGAATTGTGATCTTTGTAAACGTTGTGATCTTGAGTTGAATCAGTTTCTGTGGTTTGTATTTGTCTGCACATCATGAGTTAGTGTAGATGGAGCAGAGCTTCAGATGTGAAGTCTCCTCGTTTTATTGAAGTAGAAGCACGTTGTCTTTCATATTAATGAGAGCTCTTTTCCTCTTTCTGTATCTTACAGTTTTTTAACCTGTTTGGAGTTTCCACTTTCTAAAGTTCTTCAGCTCTGAGCAGATTATTAAACCTTGAGTTATTTCAAACAGGAACATTGTTTTCTAAAGTTACATCATGTGTTCTTTATTCAGACTGGAGGGCTGCAGTTTGTCAGAGATCAGCTGTTCTGCTCTGATCTCAGCTCTGAAGTCCAACATCCATCTGAGAGATCTGGACCTGAGTTTCAACGCTCTGCAGGATTCAGGAGTGGAGCTGCTGAGAGATCTTCTGGAGAGTCCAGACTGCAGACTGGAGACTGTCAGGTCAGTAAGGGGTCTTTGCTGGTTCAGCAGTATTGTATTAAACACAGGGAGGTGTTTCTCTCTCTGGGGAATCTCAACAAATCAGTGATGTTACCCACTGACCGCAGGCTCTTTCATTCTTCCATCAACTATATATCGTAAGCTGAAAATGCAAAGCCACGTTTAGTTAGTTAGTAACTTTCTAACAGACATATAGGATTTTACAGAAGAGTGGAAAAGGTTTTCTGTTTTGTTTCCTGTCATGTTTTTAGTTTCTAGCCTAATGAGCAGTTACTTCCTGTGATGCAGCTGAGAGCTGTGGCAGTCAGTCGTAGTGTTTTGTTTTTGTTTGTTTTTTATTTATTGTACAGGCTACAGACACAAAACATGGACATTACAATAACAAAATGAGACATTCTTATCTCAGACAGAAACAAATAAAATACAGTCAGTTGGTCACTTCAACATTTCATAAACAAAACAAAAAATAGTTGACAGTCCAATATCATCAAAAGCATGTATTATTCCTTTTGATCCCACTCTTCACTAGAGCTGATTGTTTCCCATGTCATGGTGTGTTGAGCCACCCTTTGATTCTTTGTGCCAATCATCCTTTCCAAAATAAATGGTGTTTTTAATCTACTTTTCACACACCTTAAATTCAGATTTTTCCTTGATTGAGCTTTAAAAATAAGTATTTTAGCCAGAAGAATAATTGTTTTCATCAACTGTGTATTGTCCTCATCCAAAAGCCCAAACAAAAGACCAAAGGGAGTAAATGCTAAATCAATATAAAGTGTCTTAAGCCAGTTTTGAATCTCAGTCCACAGTCTTGCAACGTATGGACAATAACAAAATAAATGCATCTGGTCTTCCTCTTCCTCCTCACAGAATCTACAAAGTGGTGACGGTTCGATATTAAAAGTGTTGAGTTGTTTTTTTGTAGCGATAATCTTGTAAAAGATCTTCAGTTGGAAGATTCTTGAATAGGAATCAATTGTTGTTTTGTATATGGTTCTAAAACATTGTTTCCAGGGTATCAGAATATTAAATTCCTCTTACCAGAAAGAACAGACCGCATGAGGAAAAGCAGTAAGCCCCTTGCTCTGTGAACAGTGATTATAAATTATTTTATTTATTTTCCTTTTTGATAGCCATTTCTGACTTCTTGTATGAGGTGTGCAGACCTGTTGTCGGTTTCCATCTTTTTTTAATGTACGTTTCCAGTTAGTTGGAATAGCTGAAAGCAGCTGGTTAAAGTGAAGGAAATCACATATCTGACCATACAGCAAAAACACTGATATGAAATGTAATTACCTGAGCTATCTAGTAGATCATTCATACAAATAATTCCTTTTCTCAGGAGACTTTCCCATAATAGTGGTTTTCCATCTATTAAAACTTCTGAGTTCAACCATATTAATTGATTTTGGATTTCTTCTGTATCTGGGGGGATACTGGAAACTCAACCAAGCCTTCAATGCATCTTTAACAAATGGTGAGATTTCTACTAATCTTTCTTTGAATAACCATTCACAGTGGTGAGACTTTAATTAGAAAAAGGGAAACAGTTTACAGTCAAATAAGTGCCCTGAAAATAAGTTCTGACTTGTTCTCCAAAGGCTATTATGATACATCTTATTCATCCAAGATGCTTTTAAGGATGAATTCATTGCTGCCACATTTTTTAAGTTTAGTCCACCATTTTCAAGTGTATTATATATGTATTGCCTTTTTATCTTATCAGGCTTATTATTCCAGATGAACTTAAACATTCGTTGTTCAAAGCTTTTTAAAAAAGACGCCTCTGGGGAGGGAAGTGAAATTAAGAGATAAACAAACTGTGGAATCACAAGAGCATTAATTAATATAATCTTTCCCTGTAATGAGAGAGCTTTCCCTTTCCAAGGTTGAATTATTTTCTCAGTTTTCTGCATTTTTCGCTCAAAATGTACCTTAACTAGATCTTTGAGACTTTCTGGAATATGAATTCCCAGAACATTTACTGAACCATTACACCATTAGACTGGAGCTGAGCATTGTAGCTCGAAATCTGTGCCTCTTAATGTTCCTATTCTCATAATACAGCATTTATCAAAGTTAGGCCTTAGCCCAGCTAATTTTGAAAAGTTATTTAAATCAACTATGAGGGCATCTAATGCAGTTTTTTCAGGCCGTAGAAAGAACGTTGCATCATCTGCATATAATGTTACTTTTGTTTCAATACCATTTGATCTTAAGCCTGTTATACATGAATTGTTTCTAATTCTGATAGCAAGAATTTCAATGCATAATAGAAACAGATATGGAGACAGTGGACACCCTTGACGTATGCCTCTGGACAGGCTGAAGCTTTTTGATAAATATCCATTATTAACTATTTGACTGGTAGGTTGGTTATATAAAACCTTCACCCACTGTATAATGGTTTCCCCAAAATTAAAGAATTGGAGGGGTTTTTGAATGAAATCCCATTTTACTTTATCAAAGGCTTTTTCAAAGTCAGCTATAAATAAAAGCCCTAGTTTTCCATCCTCTTCATGATTATCTATCATATCAAGCAGATGGAGAATATTATCTCCAATAAAACGCCCTTTTATAAAACCTGTTTGATCAAGTTTTATTATATTCCCAATTACTATTTTGATTCTCCGTGCAATACATTTGGACAGAATGCGGGTATCGCAGCAAAGTAGTGTCAGTGGTCTCCAATGCTTCATATGAACAGGATTCTTGTAATGCCCCTCTGGGTCTTGCTTCAGTAACAATGTGATGATGCCTTCTTTCTTTGTATCTGATCATATTCCTTGTGTAAAGGAGTAGTTAAAGGATGCCAATAGAGGTTTTTTTATTTCTGTGTAGAAGGTTTTATAAACTTCAACAGGCATACCGTCAATCCCTGGTGATTTACCAGGAGCGAAGGAATTAATAGCATCCAGTAACTCTTCTTCTAAAATGTTTCCTTCACAACTTAGTTGCTGATCTACTGACAGTATCTGATCATAATTCTTTTGAAAAATAACTCAATATTGGATCCTACAGGAGACTCTGGAGCCAGAGCATATAAGGTTTTAAAATAATCCACCTCTTCAGCTAATATTTCCTGTGGAGATGTAAGTAGAATACCATTTGGAGTATACAGGCTCATAATGTTTTTTTGGAAGAATTTCTTTGGTTGAGTCTTAAAAAATGAGCCGTGCACTTTTCCCCTTTTTCCATCCATGTGGCACGGGATCTATAAATTATACCATTCACTCGCTCAGAGTATAAATGTTCCAGTTCTAGTTGTTTATTCTTTATCAAATAAGTTGTTTCTATGCATAACGATTGCTTTTCATCCAACGTTTTAGTCAATTCATTGACCTCCTCTATTAGACTCTTCTCCTTTATCAAATATTGTTTTTGTTTCCATAACCCCATTTTAACAGTGTGTCCTCTAAAAACACACTTAAAGGCTTCCCAGACGTTGTGAGGGTCCGATGAATTATTATTAATTTGAAAAAAATCTTTGATTAGTTCTTTAGTTTTTTCAATAAAATCCGTATCATTTAAAAGTGATAGGTTGAATTTCCAATACCCCCGCCCTCTGGGATATTCTGCTGTAATAATTTGCAGTGTTACGATGGCATGGTCAGATCTTAATCGGTCACCAATACTACATTTTAATACTTTGTGAACCAGGGAAAAGGTGATAAGAAAGTAGTCAATGCGACTAGCTTGTTGTCCCCTGTGCCACGTATACCTGCTTGAATTTGGATTTCTTTGTCTCCAAATATCCACTAAATCCAAGGATGCCTTGAGTCGTTGGATTTCATTTAAGGCCTGTGGGTGATTATTAAAATAATGAGTACCTGTACGATCCTTACTTATGTTTAACACCGTATTGAAATCTCCAACTATAATATATATATATATTTTTTTTAGAGAGGAGATAACTTTATGGATCTCCTCAAAAAAGTTTGGATTATCATCACCATAGATATTAATGATATTTACGTGCAAGTCATCCACTGTCACCTCTAACATAATCCACCTTCCATCCTCATCAGTTTGTACATAATGAACTAAGGATGCCTTTACACGGGAACGTTTGCGTTTATGCACAGTATGCATTTTCAAAAAAGTCTTCCGTTCACACGCATTAGTTTCATTTAACGTGTCTGTTCACACGAGACCGCTGGAAACGCTGTAGTACATATGCCGGGACTGTAAGTGGCGCTGTACTTCCACATGAGACTGCTCGAAAGCGCTGGACACGCTGTAGTACATATGCCGGGCCTGTAACTGGCGCTGTAACTTCCGCCACAAAATACACCAAAAGCAGCGAAGAAGACCATGAACCAGAAGGTTGCCATGGTTACCCTTCTGTTTATGCCCCGCTGTGGATTTAGCAACATGTAGTAGTTCATGTAATTCTCCATGTCCACCTGTTGCTGATGGTTGTGGTAGAGGAGCTGTAGATTTTGCACTAACATCTGTAGCATGGTTGAGCTGTAGATGTTGCACTAACATCTGTAGCATGGTCAGTAGCAGTAGCACTAGCAGTAGCTACTGACAGTAGCTCCTGACCATGCTACAGCAGTGAGCAGCAGAGGCGGGGAGAGGCGGGGCTATGGCTTCATCTATCAGGAAATGATCGTATAGAGGCGATTACACGGAGCCGTTTGGCCCCCCAGAGCGTTTCGTTTGCAGATCTATCCACCTTGGGACCCGTTATCGTTTGTGGGGTCCGTTTCTATCGTTTAGTTAAGGCCTCGTGTAAATGAAAGGGCAAAACGCAAGAGAAACTATGCGGATACAACCCGTTTCGTTCTCGTGTAAAGGGGGTCTAAGTGTTGAATTTCTTTTTTAAACATAATCATAACACCCCTACTATTAGTAGTGCCATGACTGAAATAAATATCTCCACCCCATTCTGATTTCCATTTCAACTCGTTTTCCAAATTAGAATGCGTTTCCTGCACACAAATAATAGTAATATTGTTTTTATCTTTCAACCAAGTAAAAACTTCATTTCTTTTAGAGACATTAGCCAAGCCGTTACAGTTATAAGTTGCAATCGTAGTACTAGTACAGGTCATGTATAATCTAAAATGAGTGATATAACTTCGTCAACCTTTTTTAAATACTTGATAAGGACCCAAACTGTAAACCTAAAAAACATATAACACCTACTGACGTACACATACATCACAAAAACAATATAACATGCCTGTATTTCCTTTGCCATGGAGTTAATTGGCATTTTTGCGGTCACAACCCCTTTCAATGTATTTTCTACATATACAATATATATCGAAGAAGAAGAAGATGGGCTTAAACAAAGAGAATAATCCAGAAATGAAGCAGAAAACAAAAACAAACATTCCATGCCGTAAAGGGTTTCTTGTCTAATAAGGAAAACATAAATAAAGCCTCTAACCAGGCTCATACGGTTATCCTTAATTAACATAAGTAGGCAGACCTGCGAGAAAGACTAACCGCAGTTCTGAAACATAATAGCCGTTTCAACCGTGATCTGCATACTGTTTTCCCTCACATATGCCAAGGTTATTCTCTGCCTCCTGTACCAGTTCAGTAATGCTCCGACTGCTCCGTTGTTTATTATCCACTTCCCATCGTTGTCGCTGCCCGGTGTCCCGTTCCATGCTCCGGGTATCTTGGTCACACGGTGGGGGCACACCAACTACCAGACCCCGTTCTACGAGAGCCTTCCCCGCAGCTTTAGGATTCCCATATGTCTGTGTGGTCCCATCTTCGCTGAAAACTTTCAATGTTGCCGGGGCCAAGATGTGCGATTTGATATTTTTGGCCATTAGTTGGTCTCTGATAGGTCTGTACAAGGCTCTTTGTTGTCTTACTTTAAAGGTCATGATCAAAGAAGATTTGCATACCGCTATAAGTTACTTCCTTCTTTCCCCATGCAGCCTGTAGTATTTGCTTCTTGGTCTCAAAGTTTAGGAAAGCAACAATAATCGGTCTGGCACGATCCTTGACTTCTCTGTACTCCCGGTGCGCTCTGGTGATGTTAAAATCTCCCGGTATTTTAAGCACCTCGTTGAATAGTTTCTTCAGAAAAGTTGACATATTCTCTCCTTCACTTTTCTCTGGTATGTTGAATATACACGCATTGTTTTGCCTGGTCTTATTTTCCAGGTAGTCATTGCATTCTTCCATCTCTGAGACTTTATTTACCAGATATTTAATTGATTGTTGGTGAAGTATTTCTGTGTCATGCATCTCCCTGCAGTATCAGATATGGTGAGACGATCAGAGCCAAGATCCAGAAGACCTGTGAGTACTGAAATCAAACTATTGTACATTATATCTGATCTTAAAATATATTTATAGTACAAGAATTATTATTATTGTTTTATTATTATTGTTCTCTGTCACCACCTCTCTCCATCAGGTGACTCCGATGTGGAACAGGAAGTGAAGACAGACAGAAAGGTGAGAGAGGAGCAGTTGTACAGAGTGAAGTATATTTATTTCACCACTGAATGAAATATAATTATTAGGGCTGTCAAGTTAAATGCACTAACGCTCACAATTTATCTAGAAACCTGAAAAATATCCCGCCCCAATGTGCTGTGATTGGCTGTTACTGTGATTGGCTGGTAATACTGTGCTGTGATTGGCTGGTACTACTGTGCTGTGATTGGCTGGTAATACTGTGCTGTGATTGGCTGGTACTGCTGTGACATGTTAACCCATTAATAACCCATTTGAAATTGACAATGAACTCAGATGATCCAGACTCATTTGCATTTTTCAAATTGGTCTGAATATGTTGTGGAATTGTGGTTTGGTTTCATGAAGCTAGAACTTAACTTGATTTCTATTAAAATAACTAACTTTGTTTGTTCCAGGCTCCTGAACCCTTCTCACCTGAACACACAACTGAGTCTTCATACAGGTAATCCTATAACATGACCAAACATTCCAGGGAACTCACTAAGTGTCAGAAAACACAACCCTCTCTATTTTCCTCCATACCCAAATCTCTAAAAAAGGGGCTGCAACGGATCTGATAAAAACTGATCCAGATTTGAACACTGTCCTGACGTCAGGCAAGCACTGTAATTCTCTCCGGTTAGTCCACCAGCAGATGACAAACACCCACCTCTCCGCCTCTTCCAAGGAACGAGGGGACCGTGCGGCAGAGTTTCAGTTAGGTTTTCTTTCGCCGGTCAAGATGTCCGTTAAAGTTTTAATCTTCCGGACAAAATTAGAAAAGTGCCGGTCAAAGGTCTTCTTTGTTATTTATTGAGCTTTAAAACAAATGAATAACGACTCTATATAATAATATAATAAAACACGGAGGACGGAGATCTATTTTTCTCCCCCTCTTCTGACTTGATCAGAGCATGGCTCCCCTCTCCTGCAGGGGGGCGTGGTCAGCTGCAGCTCACAGAATCAGCCCCCTGCAAAAACAGGGCTGGAGAACAGCAAATAGAGCGAAATGAGGCATGGCTAAAATGCATGATCTGTTTGGTATTTTGAAAACAGAAACGTATAAATATACCTTATATAGGTATGGCCCTACAATATATCATTTAAATATAGCATGATAGGTCCACTTTAATGAAAATGTGTTTACACACATTGTGATGCATGTGGACACATCTTCAGTGATGTTCCTGTAATCATCAGGTGTTTCAGATCTTTCAACAAACCCTCCTCCAGGTCAGACTCCAGCTGGATGAACACCTGTCAGTCAGAACACAGGCCAGTGAAGGCTTGTTGTAGTAACCTGTCCCCTGTGTGTCTACAGGTTCAGGTGTCCTGGTCCAGGTGAGTTCCAGTGTGATTCGACTGGCCTGGTGTTCGTCATGGCTCAGGAGGCGGAGCTTCTGTACAGGACGGTCCCTTGGGAGGAGAGCCTCCTCCAATCAGCTGGCAAGCAGGCAGCAGGGCCGCTGTTCAACGTGAAGAGTTCTGATGAAACTGCCGTCTGCCAGCTCCACCTGCCACACAGTGAGACAGAGGAAGGTAAAGACATCTAGTGTTAACAAATACACTTATATAATGATTAGCACTTTATACTATTCACTAGCGTTCAAGAGTTATAAAGCAGCTTTATTAAACTAGTTTAACAAATATAGCAACAGTATAATTCAGGCACCAAATCTGTTTCAAAAGAAGAAGAATGAAATTATTAAAACATCCATTTACCGTAGTCGATGTGTTGCATGACATCATTATTGAAGCATACGATGCAATGCAGCTCTAAATACTGAGTTAGTTTTTCTTTGAGCCCTCTGCAGTCTCCTCACTGTAATATTAAAGAGATTTAAACTGTGATTGGTCAGTCCACAGCATGCTCAGCTGCTAACAGTGCTAACTCAATGCTAACTCTCTGTTACTGTTATGATGCTAGGCTAGCAGTTGGATTCATTCTTACTTTGTTATTCATCTGTTGCTCTTTCTACTCTTTACATTGTCAGTCTAGCTCCCCCGGTGTTGTTGCGGGAGCTGCTGCACTAGCTAACGCTGCACTAGCTAACGCTGCACTAGCTAGCTAACGCTGCACTAGCTAGCTAACGCTGCACTAGCTAGCTAACACTACATTAGCAAAACAAACACTATTTTATTTTGCAAAAGGTGCAGCGGGCTTCAAACACGTCTCCCTCCACTGGTTTCAACCAAGCACTAAATTCGATGTTTTCCAACCTAATACGGTTGAACTTACACTTCCCCATATTTATTTGTAAATAGATTAGAAGATACCTAATTTCGAACTGCCGCCAGCTGAAGCTTGGTTGCTAGGTTACTAGCTGGGTGTTCTCCGATAAGGGGCCGGGGAAAACAAAGTTATTGATTACTGGTTCCATGTTGATTTATTTCAGTACAGATTGTTGGGGGAACTGAAAGGCTCTTACCGTACTGGTTACTTTGCAGCCCGGACTTCCCCCAAAACACATTTCGACGCGATCCCAACACAGAAGTACCTTTCAAATCCCATCATTTTTAAGACCTTTTAAATCATATTTAAGAACTTTCTTATGTTTTTGATCTTATTTAAGACTTTTTAAGGCCTTAAATTCTGATTATCACATGTCAGACTTTTAAGACTTTTTAAGACCCCGCGGGAAACCTGGTCTAGCTGAACCATGTACAAAACAAAACAACAGACAACAACATTTATAAGTTAGACTTTCTACGCGCTAAAAGCTTTAGAAAACTCTAGAGAATCACTCAGAAATGAGACCGGACACAGTTAAGCTGTTCTGACAGCAGATTACAAACATTTCAGCAGTCTTGTGAATAAAAAATAATGAATAAAGTTTATGCATAACAGTAAATGCTCACATCCAGAAAGATCACAGGGGGCGGAACAATAATTAAACATTAGAATAAAAGGTGGAGGATATAAACTGGTACATCCTAGTGAGGCTCCAAAGTGAATGACATTAGATGAACATTAGCTCTGAACTAAAGTGGTGTGACATTGAATATGATGAAGCTGTTTCAGCAGCAATGCAACAGATGACCAGCTCTTTGCTCCACAGTGCTGCTCCTGGACGGCCTGTTGTCTGTCGTCCACATCACTGATGAAGGCCTGAGCATCTTGGAGCCGCTGGAGGTCACACGCACTCACGTGGTGGTGAAGGTGCCTCACCTCTCTCTCTTTGGCCTGGTCTGGGATATCTTTAAAAGGTTTCTGCTTCTGCGGGTAAAGGGCAAGATTCTGGTGTTCCTACGACCCTCGGTCAGAGAGGAGCAAATACTGGATGTACATCTGCTGCAGAACAACGTCCCTAAGGAGGAGGTAAACTAATTTCACCATCAGACTAAACACTGGTTTTAAACCACAGCTGTTTCCACACTCACTGCTCCTCTTCTCAAACCTTCTCGTGCTGGGAGAAGAATAAGATCTATCTGAACTGTAAATCTTCAGATCGCTCTTTGTGGTTTTGTATGATTCTCTCTCAGCATGTCTTTCTGTCTGCGGAAACTGATGGCATTAATGTTAAACACATCACACAGAACTGAAAGACCTGCTGAGATGAATCACTGCATATATATATTCTGATTATGGTGTCAAATTTGATGTTAAATACAATGCTAAGAAGAGCGCTGTAATGATCTGCAGAGCAAAAGAGGATAAGAACCTTGGTTTTCCAATATTCTATCTGTCAGGGCAGGTGCTGCCTGTTTGCTGTAAAACTAAGTATCTGGGACACATCATTACAGATGAAATGGCTGATGATGATCAAATCAGATCAAATCAAATCAGGTTTTATTTATAAAGCACATTTAAAAGCGATTTTTGGTCGAGCCAAAGTGCTGTACATGTAATAAAAAACACATTACTACAAAACACAATAAACGACAATAAATTACAACAGATATAACTTAAAAAACAAAATAAGAATAAAACACACGGAATAGTCAGGAGTCGTGCTCCGCTCTAACTAGAAAGCCAGAGAGAAGAAGTGTGTTTTTAGTTTTGATTTAAAAACCCCTAGGGTCTGGGCCGACCTCACATGGAGGGGCAGAGTGTTCCAGAGCCTAGGGCCAGCTGCTGCGAAGGCTCGGTGCCCTCGGGTTTTTAGCCTGGTCTTGGGCACTATCAGCAGCAGCTGGTCAGCAGACCTTAAAGCTCTGGCTGGGGTGTAGCGCTGGAGGAGTTCAGCTATATAGGCCGGAGCCAGCCCATTTAGGGCTTTGAAAACAAATAAAAGGATTTTAAAATCAATTCTGAACCGAACTGGAAGCCAGTGCAGTGAGGCCAGAATAGGGGTGATGTGGTCGCGCTTTTTGTGACCAGTCAGCAAACGTGCAGCAGCGTTTTGGACTAGCTGTAAGCGTTTGATTGAGGCCTGGTCCATACCCACATACAGAGCGTTACAATAGTCCAGTCTCGAGGTTACAAAGGCGTTAATAACCCTTTCTAAGTCATTAAAAGATAAATACGACTTGGTTTTGGCCAATAGTCTTATTTTAAAAAAGCAGGATTTTACTACGGTGCTGACCTGCTTGTCAAATTTAAAAGTGCTGGTGAATGTCACTCCAAGGTTCATGACCGAGGGGAGGATGTTTTTTTTGATAGAGCCCAGAATATCAACCGGAGAGGCTGGAGGTTGCGGTCCAAAAAAGATGACCTCGGTCTTGCTCTCGTTGAGGTTGAGGAAGTTTTTGCTCAGCCAGGATTTTATCTCTGCTAAGCAGTTCATCAGCTGCTGTAGTGAGTGTGTGACATTTGCTTTGAGAGGCAGATATATCTGTACATCGTCGGCGTAGCAGTGGAAGGGAATGTTATGTTTTGTGAGAATTGAACCTAGGGGCAGTATGTGCAGTAGAAAAAGGATGGGGCCCAGAATCGAGCCTTAGGGAACCCCACAGGTAAGAGGGGCTTTGGCAGAGGAGAAGGCACCTAGCTGTACCGAGAAGCTACGGTCTGTCAGGTAGGACCTGAACCATGCAAGGGCAGAGCCTGTGATGCCAGCGGACTGTTCAAGCCGTGACAGCAGGATGCTATGGTCCACAGTGTCAAAGGCAGCTGTCAGGTCTAACAGCACCAAGACAGCTGGGCTACCTGAGTCGGCGGCTAGGAGCAGATCATTAAAAACTCTTAAAAGGGCTGTTTCAGTGCTGTGCATGGGTTTGAAGCCAGGCTGGAACTTTTCATGGATTCCATGCGTGGTTAAAAAAGACTGCAGCTGGGCGTAGACACCGCTGTCTATACATGATGACATGTATAGACAGCGGTGTGTCTTATATACACAAGCTAACATGTTGGCTAGAGAATTCTCTTGGTGTTCAGATAAGGTTAAGGTGAACCTCTTTAGAGCTTATTGTACTCCTCTCTATACTGCCCCCTTGTGGGTCAAGTTTAAGAAGGCGAGCCTCCAGAAGCTCCAGGTTGCTTATAATGATTGTTTGCGTATACTGCTTAGAAAACCCAGGTGGTGCAGTGCAAGTGAAATGTTTTCTAATGCAAGAGTCAACATGTTCCATGCTCTCTTGAGAAATCTGATGTACAAATTCATATGTCGATCGAATGTTTCTCATAACTCTGTCATTATGCTGCTTTCAAATCTGTGTCTCAGTGCTGTACGCATGTAAAGTCACCTCTGTGGAAACATTAGTATAACTGCCTTTTTTTATTTATATTTGAGTGTTGTATGTCTTTTAAAAAATGGACCAAGAGTCTCTTTAAATAAAGCTGATGATGACTGCCAAGACAACTTGATCTCATCCCTACCAGCCATATTTTACAGCTTGGGCAGCAGCCTTTGGTGTTGTATAACTGACACAGAAAGTTTGGGTTTTGGTTAACGTTGGAATAGCTTCTTCAATATCTTAAGAATTAAAAGAATCCATTTTTAATATTCCTTTACAAAGGCAATATATACTTATAATTATGTTGTGATTGATTGTATATCTCATCACTTTGTGGAGCAGGTCTGTCAACGTTTGTTGTTGTTTAATGTGATCTTTAAATAAAGTTGCCTTGACTATCTGAGCATAACTAAAGTTACTCTGTTACTGAAGGTTGCTGACAAACACAAACGTGCTGAGAACATCACAATCTCCTCCGGCTGTGAGCTGGAACTGTACAAAGTTTACAGTGTGTACTGTGAACCTGAGGACTTCTACATTCAGCCTGAGGTGAGTCACTGATACTCCTCTAAAGAAACACAATGATCATTAAAACACATTTATCTGCATGTGGATCCACAATCAGGAAAGAAACAGATAAACGTTTAACTTCTGCTTCTGGTTTTCAGAGTAAAACATTTGAATCGAGTTTTGGACCAGATTACGATCCAACATTTCAAGTTTCCCTGACGACGAGCACAGAGAGAGTGGATTTGAAGCTCAAGGACCAAGGTGGAAACGTAGTCTGGAGTTATCTCGTGCCACTGGAAGGTAAAGACTCCACCTGAGCTCAGACCCAGTGATAGACTGATAACTCTAAAGCTCCATCTCATAGCCTTCTCTATTAAGGCTCCATGGCAGCGCATCATTACGACATTAAACACACAACCTGTAATGTTCTAAAACTATAGTAAAAACTAGTGTGGTGTGGTGGTGAAACAGCGTGGCATCATGGGAGTTGTAGTCTTCAGCTTCTCATGCTTAAGTGGATTACGGCATTACAGGAGACCGTGATGAATGTACTGTTAACTTTAAAATTACACATCTCTCTGAACCATTTGGGATAATGTACACATGTACATTACACTATGTACACAACTCAACCAAGTATAAATAATATAGGTGTAGGAGTTTTTATACATTTGAATGAGGAAATGTTACATATTATAACTTTAAGTGAACAGAAATCCACCTCTGGGATTGTCGAGTGACTTTAAGAGATCTGTTTAATGTGATTGTTGGTTAACAAAAGTATTTTCCTTATCTACCAGGTCCAAGACATGAATTGTCCCAGAGACATGTCCCAGCAGAGAGCAGAGTCCCAGCAGAGAGCAGAGTCCCAGCAGAGAGCAGAGTCCCAGCAGAGAGCAGAGTCCCAGCAGAGAGCAGAGTCCCAGCAGAGAGCAGAGTCCCAGCAGAGAGCACAGTCTCAGCAGAGAGCAGAGTCCCAGCAGAGAGCAGAGTCCCTGCAGAGAGCAGAGTCCCAGCAGAGAGCAGAGTCCCAGCAGAGAGCAGAGTCCCAGCAGAGAGCAGAGTCCCAGCAGAGAGCAGAGTCCCAGCAGAGAGCAGAGTCCCTGCAGAGAGCAGAGTCCCAGCAGAGAGCAGAGTCCCAGCAGAGAGCAGAGTCTCAGCAGAGAGCAGAGTCCCAGCAGAGAGCAGAGTCCCAGCAGAGAGCAGAGTCCCAGCAGACCAGAGGCTGCTCTCAGTTCGGACAGAGTTCATTCAAAGAGTGTCTCCAACTGTGCTGAACGTCCTTCTGGATAAACTCTTTGAGTCTGAAGTGATCAGTGAATCTGAAATGACGTCAGCCAGAACCAAACCCAAAAATGAGGGAGCACGAGAGGTGGTGGACGCGGTGCGAAATAAAGGAGCTGCAGCCAGCAGGGTTCTGATCAATGCTCTCCGAGAGCTGGACCCGTATCTTTACAGAGAGCTCAACTTGAGCTGAGGCAAAACCTCGTGGAGTATGTGTGACAGTTGAAGTCTAGTCCTCTTTTTTGTTACCTGTACATTTTTCCCCTTGTCCTTGAAGGTAACACAGCGAAGGCTACTTTCCTTCTCTCTTTTCTCCTGGACTCCCTCCTGAGAGCAGCTACCCGTATTGGCCTATCCTGTCTCCCACCTCCTCCACAGTGAGGACTCCTGTCTCCCCTCCACAGTGTCCAGAGGACTCCCCAGGACAGAGCTTTCTTACCAGTCTGTTCAGCCGAGATGCTGCCGCCCCAGCAGGCCACACCATAGAAAATGGCTGATGCCAAAACAGTCATAAAATGTCTGAAGGAGTAACCCCTGCACCCCGAAAGACCTCAGTCTCCTCAGCAGAAAGAGTCTGCTCTGTCCCTTCTTGTACAGAGCAGCAGAATTATCAGTCCAGTCCAGTTTATTGTTCAGATGAACACCCAGGTATGTTCACTGGTGTCGGGGGGGGAGTGTTGGCACCGTCTGAAATCCACCACCAGCTCCTTGGTCTTCCCTGCGTTGAGCTGGAGGAGGTTCCTCTGGCACCAGAGGGTGAAGTCCTGCGTCAGCTCCCTGTACTCCCTGTCGTCCTCGTTGGAGATGAGGCCAACGATGGCGGAGTCGTCAGAGAACTTCTGCAGGTGACAGGTTGCAGTGTTGTGGGTGAAGTCTGCAGTGTAGAGGGTGAAGAGAAACGGTCCAGCACCGTCCCCTGGGGGGCCCCCGCACTGCTTACAATGAAAATAAAAAAAGACAACTTGATAAATTATATATTTTTTTCACACATTATATTTCCATTCAAAGATTCAAGATTTTAAGGTTTTATTGTCATTGTCATATTTTTGTGTCACGTTATTATTACAGTATGAACAGATTAGTAACAAACCACACAAAGATTGAAGTTAAAGACTTATTTAATGTGCATCTGGAAAGCTTTGCTATTCTCTTACAGTACTTTACAATATTTGAAAAGGTCACGTTTTAATACAAAGTCAAACTAAAACAATAATATAAACTGGCTAATATTTCTTATTCCAGCTAATCAATAACAATTAGATTCAAGAGAGGATTTCTGTGTGAGGGTGAAGGTTTACAAATTTATAATCTGAGAATAGGAGGCGTTGTTCTGATAAATAACGTGAGGAATATTAACAATAAAAACAGTTCGAGGCACTTGCTGAATCTATCGTTTTTTTTTTTCTGGAAAAAAGGGAAATTACATAAAATATTTTCCATTAAAAAGTTCATTCAAGACAAAAACTCTGTTATTAAATCTGTATTTTTCTTAAAAGACAATTATTGCTAAATCTGAAAGGTCTTTCCCAGCTTTGTAATTTCTCTGTTATCGTATTTCTTATCGTTTATAACTTTATGGCAGACCAACACATTCTTGCGCAGTGCAACTCAGGCAGCCGTCTGGACGTCAAATGTCCTATTTGGGTTGCCGTACGTAACTGTCCAATATGGGGGGTATGACTACACGATTTGACGAAAGGCAACCCAAATAGGACATCATAGAAATTACAAAGCTAGGGAAGCTCTTTCAGATTTAGCAATAATTGTCCTATATTTGAAAAACACTGATTTAATAACTTAATAACAGAGATTTGTTCTTGAATCAACTTTTGAATGAAATTTCCCTTTTTTCCAGGAATCTCAACAGAGAACGTTTTGGCCTAGACTAAAACATTTCTAATTTTGACATAAAATGAAAGAAAATTCACAGTTAAGAATGAGATATTAATTATTAATGATTGCCTACATTTACAGTTTCTTATTTCTGCAGTTTGGTAGCTGAAGTTAAATCCATTTCTCACTTATTATAAGAATGTAAATAACCCACTAAAAGGAGTTCTCAAATAATCGGGAAATCACGTTGTAATAACAATAACTATTGTCATTTTCTGTCATTTTCTGTAAAAGCACTTCAAGCATGAAAGGTGCTCTATAAATAAAGTGTATTATTATTAATGTTGTCTGTTTTTTTGAGTGTTTTTTCTCTTCTTTGTGAAACGCCGCTGTGTCAAATGTCCTTCTTGGGTTGCCGTACATTGCTCTCCAAAATGGCCGACCAACTCTTTTTGACTGGTCATATTTCTGGAGTAATTATACAGTTTTTGACGAACAGAAATGTTGTTTTCTGGCATCACTTTAACATTTTAACAAGGTGCTGGTGGGTAAGCAAACTGGGAATAATAAGCTAAATATATATATACGTTAAATCCTCCAGGAACAACTGAAGCTTATTTCATAAATGTGACAATAAAATAAAAAACTGCTAAATATTCTCTTATCTTCCTACAGCAGCGTATTACTGAAACACCTAGGATTGTGTACATTAAAAAATAATAATGTAAAACCTTTAAAATAATAACTTACAGTGCACAGATTAAAATCAGTCCTGTTTGAATAATTATCTGAATATTTCTAAATTAAGAGTGACTTTTTTAGCCGATATCACCTCCTCAGTTTCCCCTCTATACATTAAAATGAATACAAAGTAAGGTTTATATCTTCTCTCTTAGCCGTAGTGCTAATTATCGGACGTTTCTACAACCAATATATAAAAAATGTGACTTTAAAATGTATGAATGGCACTACAGGTAAGAGAAAAAAGGTGTATTTTCATTATGATTATGATTTTAAAGGGTTTAATTATAATCTTTATCCAATATTTAATACTTCTGAATGAATCTGAACTACTTTTGAAATGTGAACAGTGCAACAACGATGTAGAAAAACTGGTATCATCGTTCTTTAAAATGTATTTTCTCCACTATCAATACTATGCTAACATGCAGTCTACAGCGCTGGAAGTAATAAAAGTTGTATTTCTGCAAAAACTAAACCTCTGAAATATAAATGTTCCCACAGACTTTGAAACCTAATGTTTATCTTTGGTTGGAGCTTCTCCTTTTTCAAACCTTTCCTCCTAAATGTGAGTTCAAAGCTCTGATTATCTCCTGAACAAAGACTATGAACATATTCATCGTCATCTGTTTATAAGTGACTGTTATTTTTGTATATATTGACTCTTGTGCCGTTAAATTTTCATGTTGTATTGATGCCTCTTAATGTGGGACTTTGTATAGATGTGTAAATGTTTGATTATGTAGATATCTTTAAATATTTTAACTTTTATTCATCGGGATTGTGAGAAACATCATTTCTAAGATGTGGAAAATATGGAAAATACAGCTAAATATGAACTATTAATAAAGGTGTATCCTGTGTATGCTCTGGTATCATCAAAATTAGTTGTTTTTTCCCCAGGAATGGCTTTGAGGATACAAATAAGTTAAAAAAAAAAATTTAATCGCTGATTTTGCTGCAAAATGACAAAAAATCTATGTGTTTTATAACTTTGCAGCTCCCTTTTTCCTCTCATTACAGCAGCAGTCGAGTGCGTTCACCTTTCCAATCTAATTGAATATTCATAATATTCCAGCCTGTTCTTTCAGCCCCACCAAAGCAGCTGTGAGAGCATTAAAACATACATTTACATGTGTTAAAACATGCTTAATCTAAACACATCCTACAACATCCCTCACTTTCTGTTTCCTCCCATTCCTCATTACCTCAAACATTAAATCAAAATCAAAGCACTTTCTGTTCAACCAATTTAAATTTGAGTTTCCATAGAAAACCTCTCCTCAGGGTTTAAGCCACTTGTTGAAGGACTTCTCAACATGTAGAGAAAGTCTCATTTTAAAAGGAGTGAAGTGACCCTGAGTCACAGTGTCAGAGGTCAGAGGTCAGAGGAAATGTAACAGCATAAACAGGCAATAATTCTGCCTAAAGGGAATCACAGTGAGGTTAAACATCCTGCTGTGTTTCTCTGGATCTGGATCTGGATCGTACCACACTGACGATCACTGATAGAAATCTTCGCCTGCTACGTTTTGATCCAGATCGTTGATTCTCTCCGGAGAAAAGCCTTCCTCGATGGCTACCTTTGAAGCAAGGCAAGGCAAGGCAAGTTTATTTAAAAAGCACCTTTCAACACAAGGCAATTCAAAGTGCTTTACAAAAATGGAAGACATTAAGAAAATGGCATTTAAAATCAGTCATTAAAAAGAAAAGATAATAAAATAAACATTAAAAGAAAAAATACATGGATAAAAGTTACAGTGCAGTTTAAGATGTGAATAGATCAATTAAAAGCAGCGGCAAAAAGAAAAGTCTTCAGCCTGCAAGGACCTAAAAGACAAGAGAGAGAGAAAGGAAGTCAGACTGGGACTAACTGGAGAAGGTTTAAGAGCTCAAACTGGTTTATTGTTATATGTTATTGTCAGAGATTGCAAAAGTACACTCATCCTTTACTCAAGTAGAAGTAAAGATACTCGTGTTTAAAGATACTCTGGTAAAAGTAGAAGTACTGACTAAACTTCTTTACTCAAGTAAAAGTAAATAAGTATGGGCTTTGAAATGTGCTTAAGTAAAAAGTACCCATAGCAGCTGTTTTAAAGAGTACCTGACCTCCCTTTATATTAATAGAACAATAATGTCATTGTTAGCTAATGAATGTTTCCATGCTGAACAACGGCAACATGACAACGTTTTCATTGGTCCCTCTTCTTTAGAGAAGACCAGGAAATGATGGATACACGGATCGTGTTCAAATCAATAGGCACGCAATGACTCTAAATAATAATGATCACGCCACCAAACACACATTCAAACTAAAGGAACCAGCCTGTTTGGAAAATGTGAGAAGTAGAAAGTATAGGTATTTGTGTTCAACATGTAAGAAGTAGAAAGTACAGGTATTTGTGTTCAAAATGTAAGAAGTAGAAAGTACAGGTATTTGGGTTCAACATGTAAGAAGTAGAAAGTACAGGTATTTGTGTTCAACATGTAAGAAGTAGAAAGTACAGGTATTTGTGTTCAAAATGTAAGAAGTAGAAAGTACAGGTATTTGTGTTCAAAATGTAAGAAGTAGAAAGTTCAGGTATTTGTGTTCAAAATGTAAGAAGTAGAAAGTACAGGTATTTGTGTTCAACATGTAAGAAGTAGAAAGTTCAGGTATTTGTGTTCAAAATGTAAGAAGTAGAAAGTTCAGGTATTTGTGTTCAACATGTAAGAAGTAGAAAGTTCAGGTATTTGTGTTCAAAATGTAAGAAGTAGAAAGTACAGGTATTTGGGTTCAAAATGTAAGAAGTCAAAGTAAAAAGTGGTCAGAAAACCTCTGTTGAATACTAGTTAAATATTAAAATGCTAAGCTGTGTGTGTTTTTTATTGTATTATTGGCATGATTTTGACTGTGTTTAGAGTCAGTATGTTAGCACAGTTGCAGATTGAAAACCCACCTGCTACGACTACACATTGGCAAATTAGAAAAAGGAAATAAAAACCTTCTCATTTAGTTTACGTTACATTTTCCAAAGCGACTGACGATAATGTGTAATCAACCATGACGATACAAACCAAGAAACACTCAGGAAAGCTGAAGTCCTGTAAGTACATAAGCATTGATAAGACAAACCTGTCTAGAGTGCAAAGTACACAGGTAAGTTAAGTACATTGTACTCAAGTACTGTACTTAAGTACAATTTTGGTATGCTTGAACTTTACTATTTCCATTGTATGCTACTTTATACTTCTACTCTAGTAACTAGTAGGCATTAGTCAAAAATAAAATATAAAAATAAATACTAACATTTACAATAACTCCAGAGCGTTGTAAAGTCCAAAAATGTAACATCAACTCAATAAATATAGCTGTAATCATTTCCAAACTTCAGATGTTTTCCTCCATATTCAATATTTTAAAGCAGTTACCCTAAAGTCAGGCGATACAGAACCACATCCTGATCCAAACATACCCGAAAGGAAAGGGGAAACCCCCAAAAGCACAATATGGCCTCTTTGAGTCTGTAAAATATGATTTGTAAACCGGGATATACTGTATATGCAGCTCTGCAATTCTTCACTCAAAATAGTATTTTCACACATAATTAGCCTTTTATTTAGCGAGTATTGGGTTTGTTGAATAATTAATCTTACAGCCCTGGCACCATCAATACAGAACTTGCATGCTGCTTTCATGTGACCACAACAAGAAGCATAGCATGATAACATCATCAAATCATCAAGAGACCTTCAAAAGCAGTGAAAGAAGCTTCAGATTTTAAATAAAGGACACTCAGTGCAGCCCTAGTTTGTATACATTGTAAAACAAAATGTTAAAATGATTCTTCTTCCTCTGTTTTTAGGCGAAGTGCCAAATCCACGTCGGCTTGAAGTGAAGAGAAAGATCCTGAGAACAAACTGTTTCAATAAGGAGAAATATTGAACCTGTTCAGATGTGTTTCATTACTTTCTGTTTAAATGTTAGTTAACATTCAGTTTCTGGATTTAAAGGCCCTATAATTTGACTGCATGACTTTGTGGTTAATACTGTTTCATATACATTATTACATCTGTAATACTACTCATACTGTAAAGTTCCTTTTGTTAAATACTCATTCAGATACTACAGTAATGCTTAATACTTCTGTATGAATCATTTCACTTTCATTCAGCAACGTCTTGAGAAATGTACACTGTTTGTGCGACATTAACTCAGGATGGTTTTATAAAACCGTCAAAAGCAGAATGAAACAGCAGAGGCAGGTATAAGAGTGTAAAAAAGAGAGTTTTAATTAAAGCTGTTACTAAATAAACACAAAAACTGCAGGAGCAGGCGAGGTTAGACAAGAAGGAACGAAGCAAACAGAAAACTATAAACAAACCAGGAAGACGTCGAAGAAACAGGACGTCGCCATTTTTATTTGGGGTAAAACCATATTTGCAGCTGACTAGAGGATTCTTAGTGAGACTTTGACTGCATACTGAGAACCAATCACTGATCAGAACCTGCTGATCGAGTCTTAAGCACACACACCCTTTCCAATCCACACACACACACGCAATCGCATACACACACACACCCTTTCCAATCCGCACACACACACGCAATCGCACACACACCATTTCCAATCCACACACACACGCACACACCCTTTCCAATCCACACACGCACCCCCTTTCCAATCCACACACACACACACACACACACACACACACACACACACACACACACACACACACACACACACACACACACACACACACACACACACACACACACAGCTTTAGTTACTTTAAGATTACAGATGTTCTTCCCCCTCCTGTCCAGTGATAACCACGTATCTCCAGATGATTTTAAATGTTTACGATGAACTAGGATCCAGTATTTATGTATGTGTTGAGGCAGTTCTCCTCCTTAAGCTATATGCCTTTAAAAAGCCTCTTGGATCATCTTGAAAATGCACCGTCTCAAAGCTGAAAACAGGCTGTTTTTCTGAAAAACTCATGAAAAGTTGACTTTTTAAAGATACGTGGTTATCACAGGACAAAGCTACACACATATATTGATCTCATAGAATCTGCAGCAATGCATTCAAGACAACCTCACAAGTAAGGTTTTGAATGCAGGATGTTTATTGATTTTTGTTCACTTTGTGGTATTATAATTTGTACTTGCTTGTTTTCAGCTGCTTGTCTATTTTCTAACTTTCTTGTACATGTTTTTGGAGCTGTCTCACTGTGAGAGCAATTGAAAATAATACCTGTTTGTACCTGTCCACGTGATGAGGCTGGTTATGAAACAAAGGGAGGAGCTACAGACAGGTGAGGGCGTTCAAGTAAAAATATGAAGTCAGACTGCCTGTCACGATTTGTCTGTGTTGTGTTTTGTCTTGTCTTTTTCTGTCTCTGGTTTCCTGTTTTGTTTTGAAATGTTTTCCTCCTTGTGTCTTCTCTGTTCCTTCTTCCTGTGTTTGCCTTCCTGTCTTAGTTTCCCTGGTGTGTCTGATTGTTTGATTGTGTTCACCTGTTGCCCTTGTGTTTCTGCCTCCCTTACCCCAGCTGTGTCTCGTCTTGTGATTACCCCTCTCTGTATTTAGTCTTGTCTTCCCCTGTGTGCCTTGTCGGTTCATTGTTGGTTTTTCCTGTCTCCCTCCATGTGGGTCACGGTCAGTTTTTGTGCTACCTATGTGTTTCATGCCATGTTTTTGTTCAGCTTTTAAAATAAAGCTCGCTTTTTGTTTATAGACCTTTTTACCTTTTATTGTAGTCTGCATTTGGGTCCTACCCTTTCCACGCATCCTAACACTGCCAGCCAGACTCCATTTCACACTTCGACAGAGCAGGAGGAGGAAAACAGGGTGAGTGTTAACACCAGGGTCTGCTTTTTAACACATTAATCATTTACTCTGTTAAACTGTATGTCAGAAAAGTATCTGTAAATTAAAATATATTTATTTCCTGCAGTCGAAAGTGACATCTTCAAATGTTGTGAACTTTTTTATCCATTTCCTGGTTTCTGATTCATCAGAGTTACATAACATGTAACAGCCCAGCGCAGTCAACATGGAGAGCAGCCTGCCTGAAGTCTGACTGATTTGTTTTGAAACCCAAGTTTGTCATTATGATGGTTTGGATTAACATACTATAATTGTGTTATTATAATGTGAGCCTCCAGACTTCAGAGATGAACCCGGACCCTCAGACAGGAAGTAAGAGACTGTTTCTGCTGTGAACTGACCTGAAGAGGATTCAGATATTAAATGATCTGATAATATAACTTGTTGATTAGTAATGACATGAACACAGTACAGAAACACTGCAGTAGAGTATAATAAAGAAACACAGTAGATTACAGTAATGCAGTTGAATTTAACTATAACAACTTATATACTTAAGTCAAGTAAATCAACTTCAAACGTAAAACTTTTCACTGAACTGTAACGACAGAAACCAAGAAGCCCGACTAACAAACAGAACGTTTAGCACAAGTCCAAAAATCTTCATCCGTTGAACAGACAGAAGTCAAATCAAGGAGGCAAACCTAACTAGGCAAGAAGATTGAAGTATTGGCCAATCAAGTGCCATGTTAATATTACCTCTGCTCTTTACAAGAACTAAATAATATGTGTAAAATATGTGTTTTTTCCTCAGACTGAGAGCAGCTTCTCCTGATTCTGGCATGCACTCAATTAAGAGTGACCGGTCTAAAGACATCAGTAATGAACCTGGACCCTCAGACACAAAGTAAGAGTTTCTACTGGGACCTGACCTGGAGAGGATCCAGTGTTATGTAACGCAATGTAATTCATTAGATTCAGTTCAGAGCAAGTCCAACAATCTTTAATCAGGTGAACAGACAGAAGTCAAAAGCTGCTCTTTGAATTAACTGATGAAGTGCAAAACATGTGTTGTTTCCACAGAAGGAGAGCAGAGTCTCCAGTCCCCAGCTGTCTGTCTATGAAGAGTGACCGGTCTGAAGAGGAACCTCCAGACTTCAGAGATGAACCCGGACCCTCAGACACAAAGTAAGAGAGTGTTTCTACTGTTTCTAAAGGCAATGTGAGCGTCCATTCCCATTGGATAACGGAGAAGTGTACACCCGGAAGTAAGTACCCTGCTGAAAAAAACAGCTAAGATCAACAAGGCTGGTCAGGCTGGTAAACCAGCCTGACCAGCCAGTCAATATTAGGCTGGATTAGTTTGCTGGTTAAGAGGGGTTTTGGACACTTTAGCTGGTCAGGATAGCTGGTTTGGTCACAGTGGTCTAGCTGGTCGGGATAGCTGGTTTAGCTGGTAAAAGCTTGTGGTCACAGTGGTCTAGCTGGTCAGGATAGCTGGTTTGGTCACAGTGGTCTAGCTGGTCACCATTAGCTGGTAAAAGCTGGTGGTCACAGTGGTCTAGCTGGTCACCATTAGCTGGTCGGGATAGCTGGTTTAGCTGGTAAAAGCTGGTGGTCACAGTGGTCTAGTAGCTGGTCACCATTAGCTGGTCAGGATAGCTGGTTTAACTGGTAAAAGCTGGTGGTCACAGTGTTCTAGCTGGTCACCATTAGCTGGTCAGACTTGTATGATCTTGAGTAGAACTTTAGCTGGGATTATTACTTGATGGTTAAGCTGGTCATATATGATGATGAAACACTCTCACCCAATTGCAGTAGCTCAATCTATCATTTCAGATCAGAGCACCTACCTTACCAGAATGTATAGAATGTATTGTCTGTAAATATATACTCATACATCAAATGATTAGAAGCAGGAAAATAATTTATAACACACAATGAACATTAACACAAATTTGAAAACATTTTCAAAACACCCATTACTTCATATTTTTAAGCAGTTTCCTTCAACTGTTTCTTTCCGCTTTTCACAAGGTCCTGTATTTTTAGTGAAATGTAGTAACCGGCCAACTTTTCCCTCTGTCTTCTCCACGTTTTGTGAATTCAGCCATCCTCTGAAGCACTCTTGAAAATAGAAAGGAAAAACAGATTAACTTTTAGCTTTGTGTTATGATTACTTAAAGGGGACCTATCATGCAAAATGCACTTTTGTACGTCTTTTCTACATGAATATGTGTCCCCGGTGTTTCAGGGAACTCACCAAGTGTCAGAAAACACAACCCTCTCTATTTTCCTCCATACCCAAATCTCTAAAAAAGGGGCTGCAACGGATCTGATAAAAACTGATCCAGATTTGAACACTTTACTGACGTCAGGAAAGTGGCGCTACGGCTATTGGGCCAACTCTCCACCTATCAGGGGAATGTGGGGTTGGGCCACGGCCGGCCATTGCCGCTCGAAAGCGCTGGAGACGCTGTAGTACATATGCTAGGCCTGTAAGTGGCGCTGTAGTCTGCCACAAAAGCAGCGAAGAAGACTTGGTTACCATGGTTACACTTCTGTTTATTCTCCGCTGTGGCTTTCTTTCTCCCTCCCCGAGGCAAGCGTTTGCTCCTTATGCTGCTTTAATTCAATGCAATCCCTCCCCGTCGAGGCAAACACTGTAATTCTCTCCGGTTAGTCCACCAGCAGATGACAAACACCCACCTCTCCGCCTCTTCCAAGGAACGAGGGGACCGTGCGGCAGAGTTTCAGTTTCAGTTTCTTTCGCCGGTCAAGATGTCCGTTAAAGTTTAAATCTTCCGGACAAAATTAGAAAAGTGCCGGTCAAAGGTCTTTGTTATTTATTGAGCTTTAAAACAAATGAATAACGACTCTGTATAGGCTATAATAAAACACGGAGGACGGAGATCTCTTTTTCTCCCCCTCTTCTGACAGCCCAGCAGCTGATCAGAGCGGCTCCCCTCTCCTGCAGGGGGGCGTGGTCAGCTGCAGCACACAAAATCAGACCTGTAGACAGCAAACAACACATAGAGCGAAATGAGGCATGGCTAAAATGCATGATCTGTTTGGTATTTTCGAAAACAGAAACGTATAAATATACCTTATAGGTATGGCCCTACAATATATCATTTAAATATAGCATGATAGGTTTCCTTTAAATATGTGCACTGTGAGATGAAAAAGAAAAAGGTATCAAATTTAGTTTTGAACATTCACTGTGATTGGGTCTATTATCCACGCAATACACCATATTACATTTTTTTCTTAATTTACATTATTTAATTTCATATTCTGTTCTTGTAAATATCATATTCTATTATATTAAATATATATAAACTTTTTGCACTACATTTTATTGTATATGTTGCATTGTTGGAGGAGCTCAGGTCAGAAGAATTGCATTGACATTTCTACACTGTAGCTGCTGAGCATATGAGAATAAAACCTTTGAATCTTGAATCCAACACCTTTTTCAGTGGAAAATCCTAAATTGTAGGATAGTTTGGCCATAATAATGCTTTATGATTACATTTCTAGTGAGAAGTGTATATTTTACTTTCAGAATCTACCTCCAGTGGAGGTATAGGGTATATGCAGGAATCCTGAAGTCAAATTTAATACCTTTTAAGACCCTTTCCGTACATTTTAAGACCTCATCGCCACTTTGAGTTTTAACCGGTTACATTGGCGACACACTTTACCTCACATTTACTATATACAGTATTGATTGTCCTCCCTCCTTATCTTCCAACCATTTGGACGCAAACTTGCATTTCCCCATAACGATGTTGTTTAACAACCGGCGTAAACGGACCTTCGCGCGCTATCAAGCAGTGAGCGTGCGATGTCCTGTTCAGATGACGTCAAATCCAACGGGATGCCATAAATAAACTACACAGAATCACACTACACACCTACGCAATGATTACATTCAGGCAAACTGTAGAATACAACCTCTTTGGACAAGTTATATACTTATTGAAAACAAGTTACAAAATGTAATACCTATAAATATATATATAGTATAAATGCCGTTTAATACTTTTTAATAGCCTTAATTTTCGCTAAATTGATTCATCAACTTTGAATACTTTTTAAGAACCCGAGGACACCCTGCTACAGTATGATGGATATATTACTTTACACCCGGAAGTATGTATTGTCATTCTTATTGTCGATAAATTGAGGGATATACGCTATATTTTATTAACACAAGTAGGCTATGTACTTTATACATCCACCTCGAGTGTTTGTCTCTGCACCGGAAATAATTTAATTTTAAAGTTCAACCGCATATTATATAGACTATATCAGCGCCACACCTGCGTAACACATGGTGCCTCTTGTCTGAACAATCTATTCTTGTCGACTTGCAGCCTAAATACAAAGATAACTCCACTCTCCTACCACTGCTTACCTCTAATGAGCCTTGGTAGAACTAGTGTCCGAGTCATGGGGTCCAGAACTGACTGAAGACATGTGGAACAGAGTACAGGCATGGTTCCATGTACAGGAAACTGGAACTTTGAACAGGTGTTTTCATCTTTTCTGCCTGAAGATTCACAAGTTCTTGATCAGGTGTTTGATGTGGGCTGGCATGATCCTTTCTGCAGCGATGAATAAAGAAAACAAAGAAAACATTTGTAATAATAGTAATGATGGTAACAACAATAATATTAGTATAACTATTTATAGCACTTACACAATTGCAAAGTGATTCTCCCAACAAAAATAAAGAACAAAACAATACCAACAATAAAAAAACTAATGATTATAGGAATGTTAAGAGACAAAGAAATTGTAAACATTCTGATAGGCCGACTACAAAAGGTAGACTCAATGGCTCTTGATGACATCAATGTGCAGTCCCAATAGATGCTGTTGTATAAAAATAAATAGATTTCTTCTATTTTGTGTTGGATGATTTGTTTTATTGATTGCTGATGGATGTGTATATATAGGGTTTATTGAACAGCAGTAAAGCATTAAGTTGCTAAATGAACGTACACTGAACTGTAAAACAACTTACCACTATTTAGGAAAGGCTCTGATCAGGAGGGTTGACTAGTAGGACAGCAAAGAGGTGGAGGAGGTCTATGTACAACCATTGGTAGATGTTACACCTGAAAGAAAGATAAGGAAATAAAAGAAGACAGGAGTACAAACATCCTCTTAAAGGTGGGGTAGGTAAGTTTGAGAAACCGGCTCGAGATACACTTTTTGTTATATTCCATGGAATGCTCTTAACATCCCGATAGCAATGAATATCTGAAGTGCTTTGACAAAAAATCCATAAAAAAATGTCATCTGTGGAAACCGTGGTACTGTAAAAAGCACGACCAATCATTTTAGCCGGCACGGCTAAAGTAACTGGATGGCCTACCTGCCTGTCAGCCTTCCATCTGTGCACAAACTTATCTCGTGCCCTCATTGGTCAATATCTAATAATACAATTATAAAATGCAATAACGTGCTTTAACCAGTAGGTGTCCCTTTCTATCAGCTGTGCACCGTTATGGCGTAAATACAGCCTATCTACCAATTGGATCAAATATAAAAGTCAGCCGAATTAGTGTTGATACTGCAAGGAGACGTATTGTGTGAAAAGAAATGTAAGATGTTGTTTAATTGCTTATATATTTAAGATCCACGTCAAGTTTTCAGTTTTGGCGGCAGTTCCTGTTTGTCTAGAAGTCTTGTCATCAGGGCTCTATACATAGAGTTAACTACGGCAGATATGTCATATTTAATGCAGCCGAAACTTGTATTACAATGCTGTTATGTGATGACTTTCAAAGAGAAAAGCAAGCACATTCGGAATAATGTATTTAATTTTTTGATACAGTCTATGGTTGCTACAGAGGATTGTGGGTAATGTAATGTCTTCGGCCATCCAAAACTCATAGAAAACGACTTGTTTCTCAGAATTGAAGGGGAAAACGTGACAAAAGCATTGTACACACACTAAAACCTATCAATGTCGTTTAATTAACAAGGATAATCTGGTGTTTATGAGTTGATGAATAGTGGAGATATCACTGTCAAATCAATACAGTAAGGGGAATACTTACTTCCGGGTGTACAATTCTCCGTTATCCAATGGGAATGGACGCTCACATTGCCTTTAACAGCCTCCGACACAAACGAATGCCGTGCTTCCCTAAGCGTCAAATACCGCCGCCGATGGGAATACATTGCAATCAGTTGAAAGCTCTTTGCGTCCGTTTATGAAGCTGAAGGAGCCTCGGTGCGTCACAACTGGACGCCACGGGACCCTGACCAAGCGTCGCTCCTGGACGCTTAGGGAGTGAGAGTGTGTTGGTTTCTACTGTAACCTGACCTCAAGAGGATTCTGATTTTATATATAATCGTATAATCTAAACTGTTCTTTCATAATTACATGAGCGCAGTAGAGTACGGACACTCTGTAGAATGAAGTACAGAAATGCAGTAGATTAGAGTAAAGATTTGCAGTAAAGTACAAAAAGAAAGGCAGTAGAGAACTAAGTAAACTACTCCAGTAAAATAACACTCTCTCTCCACATGTAGGTCCTCTGGTTAAGCAAATCAAATACAAACTTCACAAATGAATTGTAATAACAAGCCACCAATAAAAGCATTAAAGTACAGTCAACAAGGACGAAGAGGACAGTTAACAATATGTTAGGATATTTCAATATGCTATTATATTATCAATGTATCAGTGTTATGACATGTTCTTAAAATGACAATAATACTTGAAACAATATAAATCTTCCAACAGACGTATTTGAAGAGGTTTATTAATAATAGTAATGAGCTGGTTGTGTTTAGCATTAGCAGATGTAACTGATTACATGTAGAGTCAATACAAAGACACACATGTGTACCTGGCAACACGAATGAAGTGAAGAAGCAACATTCATATCCCCCGTGTATTCACACAACTTGAAAAGTTACAACTTGAGTGTAAAGTTTGTGACGCTCTGTTACAAAAACAGTGTTGAGATTCTGCTCCTGTCGTCACTGACATGCTGAGATCAATCAGAAGAGGGAACATCAGCACCCAGAGCTCTACAGCACCTCATATTAAATCAGGGTTATTCATGTACCTGTCATCTGATCCCTTCTTCAAGGCTTTGGTTTTAAAGTGTGTACACAAATATTTCACGTGGGACAGCAGTGTTTCCCTAAGAAACGCTTTCTGTCTTACTCAGACATTACTACATTAGCCCAGCACTTGTATAACATTTACGTATGATACTATAAATATCTGGCAACTAGTATTTGTGGTTCCTTCTGGAGTCTTCATGTCCAGGATCTTTTGTGTTGTAAAGTATAGACATTAAAATGTTTTATAAAAATCATGACATTTAAAACCCCGTCTGTTCAGATTCTCAAAAGCATTTTCCTGATTCTCTCATGTTTCCTTCTCTTCCAGCAGATAGTGGTCTGCAGGAGGTTTTAGATGAACATAGGCTCAATCTGAGGAGGAGATGTGAACGTGTGACTGAAGGAACTGATCAAAGTGAAACCCTCCTCAACAGCATCTTCACTGAGCTCTACATCACACAAGGACAGAGTGAAGAGGTTGATACCCAACATGAGGTGAGGCAGCTGGAGACAGTTTCCAAGAAAGAGACCCTCCATGACACTCCAATCAAGTGCCAGGACATCTTTAAAGCCTTACCTGACCAACAGACTCTCATCAGAGCGGTCCTGACCAACGGAGTCGCTGGAGTTGGAAAAACCTTCTCAGTGCAGAAGTTCACTCTGGACTGGGCCGAGGGTTTGGAAAACCAAGATGTCAGTCTGGTGATCCCGCTCTCCTTCAGGGAGCTGAACCTGATCAAAGGTGAGCAGTACAGTCTTCTCAGGCTGCTCCATGTTTTCCATCCAACCTTACAGAAGGTCACAGCAGAGCAGCTGGCTGTCTGTAAAGTGCTGCTCATCTTTGACGGCCTGGATGAAAGCAGACTTTCTCTGGACTTCAGAAACAATGAGGTTGTGTCTGATGTCTCACAGCAGTCCTCAGTCAACGTGCTGCTGACAAACCTCATCAGGGGGAAGCTGCTTCCCTCGGCTCTCGTCTGGATAAATTCCAGACCTGCAGCGGCCAATCAGATCCCTCCTGAGTGTGTGGACAGGGTAACAGAAGTACGAGGCTTCACTGACGCCCAGAAGGAGGAGTACTTCAGGAGGAGATCGAGTGATGAAGAGCTGTCCAGCAGAATCATCTCTCACATCAAGAGCTCCAGGAGCCTCCACATCATGTGTCTGATCCCAGTCTTCTGCTGGATCACTGCTGCAGTTCTGGACCACATGTTGACTACAGACCAGAGAGGAGAGCTGCCCCAGACCCTCACTGACATGTACTCACACTTCCTGCTGGTCCAGACCAAGAGGCAGAAGTATGAAGCGGGACATGAGACGAGTCCACAGCAGCTGACGGAGGCTGACAGGGAGGTTCTTCTGAAGCTGGGGAGAATGGCGTTTGAACATCTGGAGAAAGGAGACATCATGTTCTACCAAGAAGACCTGGAGCGCTGTGGTCTTGGTGTCACCGAGGCCTTGGTGCACTCAGGAGTTTGCACAGAGATCTTTAAAAGAGAGAGAGTGATCTTCAAGAAAACAGTCTACTGCTTTGTTCATCTGAGCATTCAGGAGTTTCTGGCTGCAGTCTACTTGTTCCACTGTTACACCAACAGGAACACAGAGGTACTGAAGGACTTCCTGAAGAGAGACTGGCCCGATGAGAACAGTAAAAACAGTGATTATGATTACCCATCCCTGGATGTCTTCCTTAAGGGAGCCATGGTGAAATCCCTCAGAAGTGAAAATGGCCACCTGGACCTGTTTGTCCGCTTTCTCCACGGCCTCTCTCTGGAGTCCAACCAGAGACTGTTAGGAGGCCTGCTGGGTCGCACAGACAACCGTCCAGAAATCATCCAGAGAGCCATCAACAACCTGAAGGAGATGAGCAGTGATTCCTCTCCTGACAGGAGCATCAACATCTTCCACTGTCTGACAGAGATGAATGACCTCTCAGTACATCAGGAGATCACAGAGTTCCTGAAGTCAGGGAACAGATCAGAGAAGGAACTCTCTGAGATCCACTGCTCTGCTCTGGCCTACATGCTGCAGATGTCAGAGGAGGTTCTGGATGAGTTGGACCTGAAGAAGTACAACACATCAGATGATGGACAACGGAGACTGATTCCAGCTGTGCGGAACTGCAGGAAGGCAGAGTAAGTCCAGATGTGATTAGCTTTATGAATGGATGTGGATCAGAAGTTTATTTCTTCAAACAAACACTATAAAATGTTTCATGTTAAATACTCTGAGAGCAAAATTAAATGATCCAGTTATTCTATTTATATATTGTGACATTTTAACATTTTTTTCTTTTCTTCACATTATTTTGAGTGATGGAGGCGACATGTCAAACAAATGAAGGACTTTAGAGGTTTTATCAGAGCAGCATGTGATCACAACATACAGCAGTATTTACAGTTATCAGTGAAAGCAGTTATTAATATATCATTGCAATTTCTTAAACATGAAATCAGATCTGTTTTACCACAATGCTTAAGAGTTTAAAATAATGTCTGACAGGCTGACAATGAATATAGAAAACTCTATTATTAAATGAAATGTACATAATATGTTTCAAGTTGTTCCATTTCAAATTCAGTAAGTTAATTAAATGTTTCCTCTGTTTTTATACTAACACAAGTTGTGATATATGTGTCATTATAGACTTTCTAACTGTGGACTCTCAGAGACTGAATGTGAAGTCGTGGCCTCAGCTCTGAAGTCTGACCCCTCTCATCTGAGAGATCTGGACCTGAGTTGCAACAACGAGCTGCAGGATTCAGGAGTGGAGCTGCTGAGTTCTGGACTAAAGAGTCCAAACTGCAGACTGGAGGCTCTCAGGTCAGTTCACTGACTGCAGTTCATACAGATCTGTTTGTATTTATGATTTTCAGAATTTGCCTGAAGACATTTTAATGCTTTTATTTTTTTCTGTATTTCCAAATGGAAATGGAATCCAAACTTTAAGAATAGCAAAGATCAGAGAAGGTGAATGTGTGACGGAGAGTGTTTGAGCTTCCACAGACTCACTCTGTGCTCCATGAGTCAGTGGAGATGCTGTCAGTACTGATGAGCTGTGAGGGAGATGAAGGAGTTGTTAAACATCTGATGAGAGAAACTGCTGCAGAGAGTTCCAGATTATCAGGGATTTGTTTCTACATCATTGCTGACGTTAAAACATTGTTCAGCTCTGATCAGATTATTAAAACATTGAGTTATTTCAAACAGGAACATTGTTTTCTAAAGTTACTTCATGTTTTCTTTATTCAGACTGAGGTACTGCAGGTTGTCAGAGATCAGCTGGGCTGCTCTGATCTCAGCTCTGAAGTCCAACATCCATCTGAGAGAGCTGGACCTGAGTGTAAACGCTCTGCAGGATTCAGGAGTGGAGCTGCTGAGAGATCTTCTGGAGAGCCCAGACTGCAGACTGGAGACTCTCAGGTCAGTTCACTGACTCTCTCTAACTGCTGGAGATCTCATGTGTTTCATTAACAGTTGAACCTAATGCTTGAACAACCACACATTTGTATATGTCGTTGTGAGGGTTTTCCTGCTCACCCAGTTAAAAAGGACAGAAGGAGTGGAAGGCTTGCTTAAAAGAAAGCTTTATTGACTGGCCCCAGCTTGCAAACAATGAATCAATACTTTAGGAAACAGACAGAACACTGCTGCCAGTGACAGGCTTTCTTGGGGCAAGTCATTCTGCCTCCAGGACCCAGACCAAGAGACAAGAACCAGGTTACTGACATGCTTTACTGTTCACCTCGTTACCTGATCCTTGTCCAGCTGTCTGGAGCCACCTCCATCCCTCCAGCAGCCGGCGCTCTAACCACACCCCACTGCCACAGTCCTTTTGTTCATATTCTTATTGTTCTTGTACTACATTTAGTCTGCAGTCATAAAAGTTGACTGTTTCTTAAAATATATAGGTTAGATATCCACTGTTAGTTGTTAAAGTAAATGTATGTTGTCTTTATTAAATGCTCACATCTGAATAAAGAAGTTCATCTGAACTAATATTAGTTTTACATTGATTTCTGAAGCATACATGTTTTTCTTGCTTCCCATTGATTTCAATGTTTTCACAGATAATAAACAGAAGGCTGATATTATGATGATCCACAATAACAGAAAGACAGTCACTGTAATTCAGGGAAAAGCTCATTGATTAGGAGACAGGAATGTTGAGCTACAATTAATAAACCTGAACATCTGATTGGATAATAAACAGATTTTTATCCTCATCATGTTTTCTTTATACAGACTAAGGGGCTGCAGTTTGTCAGAGATCAGCTGTTCTGCTCTGGTCTCAGCTCTGAAGTCCAACATCCATCTGAGAGATCTGGACCTGAGTAACAACGCTCTGCAGAATTCAGGAGTGGAGCTGCTGAGAGATCTTCTGGAGAGTCCAGACTGCAGACTGGAGACTCTCAGGTCAGTTCTCCATCTGTAATTTGTGTGCTGAGATGAATCTGTGAGAGTTGTGTTGACTCTGAGCTGCAGACATCAGGCTGATCTCACTCTGATCCTCACTGAGCATCTTAATGCTAGAGTTGCATCATGCAATGTTGATCTTTACATTTAAATATAACAAAAAAAATCTTCACTGCAGAATTCACTCTGAACCTTTTAAACAGCTGAAATTCATCTTGTATTCTCCATCATGATTTTAACAAATGATATCAAATTATAATAAAATAATTCTATTAAAACTATCAAACACTAACAAGTATGTTCAGTTGTTGCTGTTTCCAACATGTTCCTGAAGCTACATGATGCTGATGTAAAGGAGGGGGAGGGGTAATAATGTGTGGAGAGGGAAAAGGTTATTTAAAATCAGGTAGAGAGCAACACTGGGTAATCAAGGAGCCAACTACTAAGTTTAAGATTTTAACACCATCATTTATTCAGGATAATATAAAAACTTTACTAAGAAACTAAAATCAGAGCTGTCTAAAATATAATCTCAGTAAAAAGATAATTTTAAAACTATTTTAAAATACAATTAAACGCAGTTGAAACAATACAAAGAATTAAAATGTTAAAAGGGTTCAAAGTATTTTCTTCAAAACCAGAGTCTTTCCAGGGCTGCAAAGTAGTGATGTTACGTATTGCGCCGAGACTTCGGAGCGTGTGTCGAGTAATCCCAGAAGCTTTTTGTGAAGCTTGTATCGAGGCTTGTATCGTTTTGGGCCAGTGACGTCATCGATGACAGACGAAGCCTCGCTGCCTGTCGATACCACGTGACTGCTTCAGGAAGCGATTCAGATCGGTTGAACCACAACGCTCATATGCATATTATTACCGTTCTTATTATACATCCATGCATATTACCCATGGATGTATAATAAGAACCATATTACCCCTCCTTTTCCCGACCCCGGTGACACAATGGAATTAAGAGAGCTCAGACCCTCTCTTATATAGAGGTCGGAACATGTCATAAGTATAAATGCATAAATAAATATAGGAATAAAAACATCAATAAATAGGGTGCAGTGTTTTCAGGTAGATTCGATGTGTGGGCTGTGGCTCAGCTGGTCTCTTAATCCCTTATTCTCCTGTGCTCCTGCTCGTGCTCGTGCTCCTGCATGCTGCATGCTGCATGCTGCCTCTGCTGTCTCCTTCAGTCTCTCCCAGTCTCAGTCTGTCTTCTGCTGCTCTTCTCCTTCCCTTTATAGGCAGGGCTGTTGGTGCAAATTGTCTCCAGGTGTGGTCACTCATTGTTAAGCAGCATGGCAAGGCCAATCCAAACATTTCAACATAAAAGCATGCAGCAGGAAGTTAAAACCAGTTAAGAAGGCAAACACATTTCAGAGTAAAATCACACAATAAAAAGGTATACAACACACACTTAAAAACCATGCAATAATGAATCATTAAAATACATTGCCACCTTCTTCAGCTCTGAGCAGATTATTAAACCTTGAGTTATTTCAAACAGGAACATTGTTTTCTAAAGTTACATCATGTGTTCTTTATTCAGACTGAGGCTCTGCAGCTTGTCAGAGATCAGCTGTTCTGCTCTGGCCTCAGCTCTGAAGTCCAACATCCATCTGAGAGATCTGGACCTGAGAGGCAACGCTCTGCAGGATTCAGATGAGAAGCTGCTGAGAGATCTTCTGGAGAGTTCAGACTGCAGACTGGAGACTCTCAGGTCAGTAAGGGGTCTCTGCTGGTTCAGCAGTATTGTATTAAACACAGGGAGGTGTTTCTCTCTCTGGGGAATCTCAACAGATCAGTGATGTTACCACTGACTGCAGGCTCTTTCATTCTTCCATCAACTATATATCGTAAGCTGAAAATGCAAATCCACATTTAGTTAGTAACTTTCTAACAGACATATAGGATTTTACAGAAGAGTGGAAACTGTTTTCTGTTTTGTTTCCTGTCATGTTTTTAGTTTCTAGTCTCATGAGCAGTTACTTCCTGTAATGCAGCTGAGAACTGTGGCAGTCAGTCGTAGTGTTTGCAGAGAAGATATGATTGGATGTAAAGCATGAGATCAGTCAGGACTCTGAAGCTGACTAACTCAAAGAACAAACACTTATTTTAAACTTTATCCATAATTGTTGGATTGTGTTCATCCCTGCAGGATCAGACATGAGACGTTCACAGCCAAGATCCAGAAGACCTGTGAGTACTGAAACCATATCCTCATTCATCAAACTATTGTACATTAAATCTGATCTTAAAAGATATTTATAGTACAATAATTATTATTATTGTTTTATTATTATTTTTCTCTGTCACCACCTCTCTCCATCAGGTGACTCCGATGTGGAACAGGAAGTGAAGACTGTACAACTGCTCCTCTCTCACCTTTCTGTCTGAGTGAAGTATATTTATTTCACCACTGAATGAAATATAATTATTAGGGCTGTCAAGTTAAATGCACTAACGCTCGCAATGTATCTCGAAACCTAAACAATATCCCGCCCCAATGTGCTGTGATTGGCTGTTACTGTGATTGACTGGTAATACTGTGCTGTGATTGGCTGGTACTACTGTGCTGTTATTGGCTGGTAATAATGTGCTGTGATTGGCTGGTAATACTGTGCTGTGATTGGCTGGTACTGCTGTGACATGTTAACCCGTTAATAACCCGTTTGAAATTGATGATGAACTCTGTGAAGCTGACCGTTGAGCGGCCCGACCAAGCAAGGAGGCAGAGGCAGAGAGTTCAAATATAACCCGGTGTGGGCATTTATTAAATCATGGGCACATGATTCACAGCCTCAATATTGCTGTCCACGTGAACACAGTCACCAGCCACAAGGATCTCACCCACACTAACAGGAAAAACAGCACCTAAATACACACAGACTAATCAAACCAACAAGACACAGGTGAGGGGTAGATGCGCCGGTGAAGATGGCCGCATCGTCTTTGTGCTCCTCTCCAACTTTGCCCATTTTCGTATTTTGTACATATTTATTTTACTTTTGCCGTTTTACTTTTAACATGGTTCGCAACATGCTAGCCGACCGCACCTACTCTGCCATACAATATAGCAGAGAGGAACTTCTTCAATTGCGAAACTTCGTGGACAAAAATAACCCTCCGACAGACAATGGAGATTCACCATGGCTACCTGTTGCTGTTCTACCTGAGAGACGCAAGAAGAAAACAAAACGCGGGTGCCGGGCCGGGCTGCTGGTCAGACTGAGGAAACGAGAGAATCGACCCCCTCTTCCGAGTATTCTTCTGGCTAATGTTCAATCCATTGAAAATAAGCTAGATGAACTCAGAAGCCGGATTGCTTTTCAACGGGACATTAAGAACTGTAACGTGTTAATTCTCACTGAGACTTTGCTCAACCCCGCTATCCCGGACTCCGCCATTGTCCCTGATGGATTCTTTATTTTTCGTCAGGACCGGACTGCTAACTCGGGGAAAAGTAAGGGAGGCGGTGTGTGTGTAATGACTAACAACAACTGGTGCTCAGATGTGAAGATTATTTCATCGGACTGTTCCGCACATCTAGAGCACCTCATGATCTCATGTCGGGCCTTCCATCTGCCGAGGGAATTCACATCTGTTGTGATAACAGCAGTGTATATCCCCCCGCAGCCACTCGCCGACAACAACACGGCACTCGATCAGCTGTTTGGGATTATTGATAAGACCGAGACTTCGCGGCCAGATGCGGCGTTCGTTGTGGCCGGAGATTTCAACACCGCCAACATGAAGAAGGTTTTGCCAAAATATTACCAACACATCAGCTGCCCGACGCGCGGGGGAAACATACTGGACCATGTTTATTCCCCTTTCCGGAATGGATATAAGGCTCTCCCTCGCTTCGGCAAATCAGACCATATCTCACTACTGTTGTTGCCTGCGTACAAGCAGAAACTTAAAAGGGACAGACCAATAACAAGGACAGTACAACGATGGAGCGAGGAGTCAGATGCAGCACTGCAGGATTGCTTTGCATCTACGGATTGGAGTGTTTGAGGACAATAACATCAACACACACGGACACTGTCATCTGCTACATTGGGAAATGCATCGATGACGTGGTACCGAAGGTTTCTGTACGGACATTCCCAAATCAAAAGCCCTGGATAAACTCCGATGTGCGCTGCAAGCTGAAAGCGCGCACTAGCGCGCACAGAGCGGGAGATTTGGAGGAGTACAGGAAGTCCAGGTATGATCTCCGGAGAGCAATTCAAAATGCAAAGAGACAGTACAAAGAAGGTGGAATCTGACTTCAAAGGCTGTAACACTAAGAATATGTGGGCGGGACTAAGGACAATGACTGACTACAAAGGAGCAGCGGGGGGTGCTGCGGGAGTGTCTGCGTGCGCATCTCCCAGATGAGCTGAACAGTTTTTTTGCACGCTTTGAGAGCAGCCAGGCTGTGGAGGTACAGATGGACCAGGAGCTACACTGCCCTTTTGTTTTAAATAGGGCAGATGTGTGTAAATCCTTTAAAAGGGTTAACCCACACAAGGCTCCTGGACCTGATGGCATCCCTGGCCGTGTTCTCAGGGTGTGTGCAGTTCAGCTGGCAGAGGTGTTCACAGACATCTTCAACAGGTCCCTGCTGCAGTCTGTAGTCCCCACATGCTTCAAACATTCCACTATCGTTCCTGTCCCGAAAAAGAGAATCATCACCTGCCCCAACGACTACCGCCCAGTAGCACTCACCTCCACCATAATGAAGTGCTTTGAGCGGTTAGTCAAATCATTCATCAGCTCCTCCATCCCTGAATCTCTGGAAACTGCACAGCACATCACCAGGACGGAGCTGCCATCCATGGAGGACCTTTACTCCCAGCGGCTCAGGAAGAAATCACTACGGATTATCAAAGACCCCCATCACCCCAGCCACAAACTGTTCTTTCTGTTGCCATCTGGCAGACGTTACCGCAGCATCCTGGCAAGGACAAGAAGATTCAGAGACAGTTTCTTCCCGCGGGCAGTGAGACTGTTAAAAAATTGAACTGTTGAAACAACTTCAAACATTCATCTGCTACTCAGTAGTATGTATCTAATACCTTATATATATATATATATATATATATATATATATATATATATATATATATATATATATATATATATATATATATATATATATATATATATATATATATATATATATATATATATATTTCCAATAACTTGTACATAGACTCTTACTGCACTATTCCACATCATCATTTTATTTTATAACTATTATTCTTTTTGTATTGCTCTTGCTCTTATTGTTATTATGTTGCATTGTTGGAGAAGCCTGTGACATAAGATTTTCAACTACATAATTACTCTATAGCTATGTCAGATTGACAATAAAGAACCTTGAACCTTGAGGGGGGAGGAGACAACACAGGGCCAGAGTTGGGTGTAATATTACTTTTGTCGGTAACGGAGTAGTGTAACGCGTTACTTTTATAATTGAGTAATCACACTACAGTTACTAGTATTGCCCCGACACGCGTTACTTCGTTACTTTTATAAAATCAGTCATCACACTGACAGACAAGAGGGGTTTCCGCCGCAGGTTTATATGAACGTAATCTGCGCGACTTGCGCGTCCACATCTCCACGTGCAGTGCTGCATAAACATGGCAGAGTCAGCGATAACTTTCGAAGGGTGGAGGTATGCCCATTATTTTGAGTTCGTCCAGAAGCTGTTATCCACTGCTGCAAACACCACGTCAAACCTCAACAAACACCTGCAAAGAACACATGCTAAGGTGAAGCTAATAGCTAAGGACCCCCGAACCCAGAGTGAGGATGTTGTGAGTGCTGCCGCCGACTCCGAAGCAGCACAAATTAGAATTTGGAGGACCGGTAACCAAAGCAGAGATGGACAGGCTTGTAGCATCCTTCATAGTAGAGGTAATGTTGCCCATTTGCACAGTAGAATCACCATCGCATCGTTCAGAGATATACTGCGCAAAATACAGATAGCAGGAGACAGAGGACAGCCATAGTCAGAGCTATCTGGATCAGTCTTATGCGACAATGGAAACTGAACTAAAGAGAACATTTGAAACTTTAGCAGTCTGCGTGATCTGCCTGTAGGGAGGGGCGGGCCGGCCCTGCGAGTAAAGTAACGAGTAAAGTAACGAGTTACTTTATGTAGAGAGTAACGAAGTAGTGTAATATATTACTTTTTTTTTAAAGTAATATGTAATATTACTCTTTTTAGTAACGACCCCATCTCTGCACAGGGCACCAGGTGAACACAATCAATACACTTCGCCACCAACGAAGCTATACAATCCGTAACGGAGGCCGAGATCTATGGCCCCAGAGATCACCTCCGTTACAAACTCGGATGATCCAGACTAATTTCCATTTTTCAAATTGGTCTGAATATGTTGTGGAATTGTGGTTTGGTTTCATGAAGCTAAAACTTAACTTGATATCTATTAAAAGAACTAACTTTGTTTGTTCCAGGCTCCTGAATCCTTCTCACCTGAACTCACAACTGAGTCTTCATACAGGTAATCCTATAACATGACCAAACATTATTTTAAACACATGAAAAATATATATTCATTTAATTGTGTTTGATTTCATGTCTTTCACCTTGAGGTATTGCATCCAATCTCTTTCCAACAGACGTCAATAAAATAATGCCTCTGTGTAGGAAGGATTGTTTTCTTGTACCAGTCTAGATCCTCGCTGGACTAGACATTTTGTTAATTTAATGAAAATGTGTTTACACACGCATTCTGATGCATGTGGACACATCTTCAGTGATGTTCCTGTAATCATCAGGTGTTTCAGATCTTTCAACAAACCCTCCTCCAGGTCAGACTCCAGCTGGATGAACACCTGTCAGTCAGAACACAGGTCAGTGAAGGTTTGTTGTAGTAACTTGTCCCCTGTATGTCTACAGGTTCAGGTGTCCTGGTCCAGGTGAGTTCCAGTGTGCTTCGACTGGCCTGGTGTTCGTCATGGCTCAGGAGGCGGAGCTTCTGTACAGGACGGTCCCTTGGGAGGAGAGCCTCGACCAATCACCTGGCAAGCAGGCAGCAGGGCCGCTGTTCAACGTGAAGAGTTCTGATGAAGCTGCCGTCTGCCAGCTCCACCTGCCACACAGTGAGACAGAGGATGGTAAAGACATCTGCAGTGTTAACAAATACACTTATATAATGATTAGCACTTCATACTATTCACTAGCGTTCAAGAGTTATAAAGCAGCTTTATTAAACTAGTTTAACAAATATAGCAACAGTATAATTCAGGCACCAAATCTGTTTCAAAAGAAGAATTAAATTATTAAAACATCCATTTACCGTAGTCGATGTGTTGCATCATGACATCATTATTGAAGCATACGATGCAATGCAGCTCTAAATACTGAGTTAGTTTTTCTTTGGGCCCTCTGCAGTCTCCTCACTGTAATATTAAAGAGATGTAAACTGTGATTGGTCAGTCCACAGCATGCTCAGCTGCTAACAGTGCTAACTCAACGCTAACTCTCTGTTACTGTTGTGATGCTAAGCTAGCAGTTTGATAAATTCTTACTTTGTTATTCATCTGTTGCTCTTTCTACTCTTCACATTGTCAGTCTAGCTCCCCCGGTGTTGTTGCGGGAGCTGCTGCACTAGCTACTAACGCTGCACTAGCTACTAACGCTGCACTAGCTAGCTAACGCTGCACTAGCTAGCTAACACTACATTAGCAAAACAAACGCTATTTTTTTTTTTTGCAAAAGGTGCAGCGGGCTTCAAACACGTCCCCCTCCACTGGTTTCAACCAAGCACTAAATTCGATGTTTTCCAACCAAATACGGTTGAACTTACACTTCACCATATTTATTTGTAAGTAGATTCGAAGATACCAAGATGTCTGACTGCCGCTAGCTGAAGCTTGGTTGGTTGCTAGGTTACTAGCTGGGTGTTCTCCGATAAGGGGCCGGAGGAAACAAAGTTAGTGATTACTGGTTCCATGTTGATTTATTTCAATACAGATTGTTGGGGGAACTGAAAGGCTCTTACCGTAGTGGTTACTTTGCAGCCCGGACATTTCCCCCAAAACACATTTCGACACAGAAGTACCTTTCAAATCCCATCATTTTTAAGACCTTTTAAATCATATTTAAGAACTTTCTTATGTTTTTGATCTTATTTAAGACTTTTTAAGGCCTTAAATTCCGATTATCACATGTCAGACTTTTAAGACTTTTTAAGACCCTGCGGGAAACCTGGTCTAGCTGAACCATGTACAAAACAACATTTATAAGTTAGACTTTCTACGCCCTAAAAGCTTTAGAAAACTCTTCACACATCTAGAGAATCACTCAGACATGAGAGCGGACACAGTCAAGCTGTTCAGGCAGCAGATCACAAACATTTCAGCAGTCTTGTGAATAAAAAAGAATTAATAAAGTTTAATGCATAACAGTAAATGCTCACATCCAGAAAGATCACAGGGGGCGGAACAATAATTAAACATTAGAATAAAAGGTGAAGGATATAAAAGGGTACATCCTAGTGAGGCTCCAAAGTGAATGACATTAGATGAACATTAGCTCTGAACTAAAGTGGTGTGACATTGAATATGATGAAGCTGTTTCAGCAGCAATGCAACAGATGACCAGCTCTTTGCTCCACAGCGCTGCTCCTGGACGGCCTGTTGTCTGTCGTCCACATCACTGATGAAGGCCTGAGCATCTTGGAGCCGCTGGAGGTAACACACACTCATGTGGTGGTGAAGGTGCCTCACCTCTCTTACTTTGGCCTGGTCTGGGATCTTCTTAAAAGGGTTCTGCTTCTGCGGTTAGAGGGCAAGATTCTGGTGTTCCTTCAACCCCCGGGCAGAGAGGAGCAAATACTGGATGTACATCTGCTGCAGAAAAACGTCCCTAAGAAGGAGGTAAGGCCATGTGCTCACCATCAGACTAAACACTGGTTTTAAACCACAGCGGTTTCCACACACACTGCACTTCTTCTCAAACCTTCTCGTGCTGGGAGAAGAATAAGATCTATCTGAACTGTAAATCTTCATATCGCTCTGTGGTTTTGTATGATTCTCTCTCAGCATGTCTTTCTGTCTGCGGGAACTGATGGCATTAATGTTAAACACATCACACAGAGCTGAAAGACCTGCTGAGATGAATCACTGCCAAGACAACGTGATTTCATCCCTACCAGCCACATTTTACAGCTTGGGCAGCAGCCTTTTGTGTTGTGTAACTGACACAGACGGTTTGTGTTCTGGTTAACGTTGGAATAGCTTCTTCAATAGCTTATCTCAAATAATTAAAATCTATTTTTAATATTCCTTTACAAAGGCAATATATACTTATAATTATGTTGTGATTGATTGTATATCTCATCACTTTGTGGAGCAGGTCTGTCAATGTTTGTTGTTGTTTAATATGATCTTTAATTAAAGTTGCCTTGACTATCTGAGCATAACTAAAGTTACTCTGTTACTGAAGGTTGCTGATCAACACAAACCTGCTGTGAACATCACAATCTCCACCGACTGTGAGCTGGAACTGTACAAAGGTTACAGTGTGCACTGTGAACCTGAGGGCTTCTACATTCAGCCTGAGGTGAGTCACTGATACTCCTCTAAAGAAATGCAATGGTCATTAACACACATTTATCTGCATGTGGATCCACAATCAGGAAAGAAACTGAAAACCAGAAGCAGAAGTTAAAAGTTTATCTGAGTAAAACATTTGTATCAAGTTTTGGACCAGATTACGATCCGACATTTCAAGTTTCCCTGACGACGAGCACAGAGACAGTGGTTTTGAAGCTCAAGGACCAAGGTGGAAACATAGTCTGGAGTTATCGCGTGTCATTGGAAGGTAAAGACTCCACCTGAGCTCAGACCCAGTGATAGACTGATAACTCTAAAGCTCCATCTCATAGCCTTCTCTATTAAGGCTCCATGGCAGCGCATCATTACGACATTAAACACACAACCTGCAATTTTCTAAAACTATAGTAAAAACTAGTGTGGTGTGGTGGTGAAACAGCGTGGCATCATGGGAGTTGTAGTCTTCAGCTTCTCATGCTTAAGTGGATTCCAGCATTACAGGAGACCGTGATGAAACGTACTGTTACCTTTCAAATTACACATCTCTCTGAACCATTTTGGATAATCTATGTACACTCAACCAAGTATAAATAATACAGGTGTAGAAGATGGACCTTTATTAATCCTCCAAGGGGGGAATTCAGTTTCCACTCTGTCGTATACACACACAGTTTTTTTTATACAGGTACATACAGTACACACAATACACACGTTTTACATCATGCACATACATATACACATACACACAGTTATATGCACACATGCACATGCACATGCAGTTGAGAGGTCAGAGCGGAGGCAGCCAGTCTAGCCGGCGCCAGTGAGCAGTTGGGGGTTAGGTGCTCCCTTGCTCTGGAGTTTTTATATATTTGAATGAGGAAATGTTACATATTATAACTTTAAGTGTACAGAAATCCACCTCTGGGAATGTCGAGTTACTTGCATTTGGAAGAGATCTGTTTAATTGATTGTTGGTTAACAAAAGTATTTTCCCTGTTTATCCACCAGGTCCAAGGCATGAATTGTCCCAGAGCAGAGTCCCAGCAGAGAGCAGAGTCCCAGCAGAGAGCAGAGTCCCAGCAGAGAGCAGAGTCCCAGCAGAGAGCAGAGTCCCAGCAGAGAGCAGAGTCCCAGCAGAGAGCAGAGTCCCAGCAGAGAGCAGAGTCCCAGCAGAGAGCAGAGTCCCAGCAGAGAGCAGAGTCCCAGCAGAGAGCAGAGTCCCAGCAGAGAGCAGAGTCCCAGCAGACCAGAGGCTGCTCTTAGTTCGGACAGAGTTCATTCAAAGAGTGTCTCCAACTGTGCTGAACGTCCTTCTGGATAAACTCTTTGAGTCTGAAATGATCACTGATTCTGAAATGACGTCAGCCAGAACCAAACCCCCAAATGACGGAGCACGAGAGGTGTTGGACGCGGTGCGAAAAAAAGGAGCTGCAGCCAGCACGGTTCTGATCAATGCTCTCCGAGAGCTGGACCCGTATCTTTACAGTTGCCTCAACTTGAGCTGAGGCTAAACCTCGTAGAGTGTGTGTGACAGTTGAAGTCTAGTCCTTCCGGGAAGGTTCACTTCCGGTTTCGGGTTCACTTCCGGTTTCGCTATGAGTGGTCGCATTTTCGAGAGCTCCCGCTTTGGAGGTTATTCCTCACGATTTTTTACATATTTCATCCTCCTGACAATATGGATTATGGACTCCTACCTCAACTCATCAATGAGGCAACATCACTTAGAGAAGGAGAGTAGTGAAAGCAGGGATAAAATGAACCACAATGACTTTTACCTTCTCAACGGCTGGGAAAGGAAACACCTCGCTTTTGGAAGTGCAAGCATTCATGCATTATTAACTGCAAACCCGACGCGAAAGTACTTACCCCCGTCAGGCAAACTAGACCGAAGAAGTATGATCGTCTTGGTCTTATTGTTAGCGGGAGACATCCATCTGAATCCGGGCCCGGTGCAGACAAGAAGCCATTCCTGCAGGCTCGAGGAGCTAGCATCACAACTAGCATCACAACTAGCATCTCTTCCGCTACAGCAACAACTACGCGACGACAACAGAGACCATGGAGACAGCGGAGACCGAGGAATCAACGGAGACTTCGACATTCCCCCGGGGACGCCTCGGCAGACAGACACGCATGAGGCAGTGACGAGAGGAAGAGAACCGAGATCCGAGGGAACAAATATCCACCATGTTGTTAGCCACCCTGCTAGCATATCGACGGCTAAAGCTACAACGGAGCCTCCCTCCCCCCACCACCACACCGCTCCAAGCACCACGGCAGGCCGCAAGCCGTTTGCTGTAACGGACAAAGACAAATATCTTCAAGCTGACGACATTATGCATTTAAACAACAAAAATGGACTACATATTTTTCATCTGAACACTAACAGCCTGAGACACAAACTGGCTGAACTCAGGCAACTGTTCATGAACGGTAAGGCAAGCATATTATGCTTTTCTGAGACCAAATTGGACAATTCCATTACAGATTCAGAGATTGAAATTGAAGATTATCTTGTAGTGAGAAGGGACAGGAACGTGAATGGAGGTGGTGTCTGCATGTACATACATAAAGACACCAATTTCAAAAACCGTACTGACCTGCATCATGAAAATATTGAATCTGTGTGGGTTGAAATTCTTTTTGACAATGCTAAATCTGTAATAGTCGGGACAATCTATAGACCACCGGAACAGAGTGACTTTTATGATACATTAGATGGGTGTTTGGCTGATGTGGGGGATGTAGAGACAATTATTATTGGAGACTGGAACACGGATATGCAACGTAAAGACACGTCCGTCTTCAAGTCCTTCAGTAGGATTTGTGATCTGCACGGCTTCAGCCAGCTAATCACCCAACCCACCCGGGTATGTGAAACAACACAAACTACCATTGATCTCATTCTGACCTCTGACAGGTCCAGGATCTCCAGTAAAGGGGTTATAGCATGCGGTTTAAGTGATCATTATATGATATTCTGTACCCGCAAAAAGCTAAAACAAAAGGCCGGCTGTCACAAAACAGTCATATCTAGAGACCTCAAAAACTACTCTAGCGAGGCCTTTAACCTAGAACTGGAGAGCCTGGACTGGTCAGATGAGCTCAGTGGTACACAAGTTGAAGAAACATGGCTTGGTTTCAAAAACAAATTCTCTGCAATACTCAATGATTTGGCCCCCCTAAGAACAACCAGGGTAAAAAATCGCGCTGAGCCGTGGATGCACTCCGGCATACTGACCGCCATGAAAACCAGAGACAAAAAATGCTCTGAGTTTCATAAAAGTCAGTCAATGCTTTCCAAAAGCACGAGCAGTGAACTCCAGGCCCACGTGACTGAACTAAAAATTGAAAGAAACAGACTAAGAAATGACGTAAGCTCCATGATCAAAACTGCCAAAAAGAATTTCATCAATGACAAAACTGAGGAAAACAAAAATAAACCCCGTGAACTTTGGAAATTACTCAATAACCAGCTTGGCTGCAGTAAAAAACTCAAAACGAGATTTTCAAACGTAAACATAAAGACAGATAACAGGCTCATCACAGACAAACTGGATGTGGCCAAGTACTTGAACATTTTTTTCACAAACATAGCCACAACTCTTGTAAATAAATTACCCTCCCACTCAGGGCTTTTTGGAGTAGATCACATCATGACCTACTACAAAAACCTAGGGGTACGCAAAGATGATTTCAGTCTAGCAAGGGTAACAACAGCAGAGGTACTCATTAAACTGAGCGCCCTCAAACCTAACAAGGCCACTGGCCACGACAATATCCCCTCCAAATTCCTCAGAGACACAGCAACCGCCATCTCACCAGTCATAGCTCACATAATTAACCTCTCCATAAAACAGGGAAAAGTACCCAAAGACTTCAAAATTGCAAGAGTAACCCCCCTGCACAAAAAGGGCAGCAAATTGGACCCAGGCAACTACCGCCCTGTTTCTATACTTACCTCCATCTCGAAAGTCATGGAAAAAATAGTATATGAACAGGTCGAAAAGTACCTCGCAGAAAAGAAACTAATCTATGAATTTCAATCTGGCTTTAGAACATCCCACTCCACTGACACATGCCTTCTTTATTTGAACGACCACATCAAACAAGAGGTGGACGAGGGTAAATACTGCGGCATGGTGATGCTGGACCTACAAAAGGCTTTCGACACTGTCAATCACCCCATTCTGATTGACAAGCTAAAAGCAATTGGTTTTGATAAACTATCGGTGAGCTGGATGCAATCCTACCTGGAGGGGAGAGAACAGATGGTGGAGGTAAACGGTACTCTGTCCCCCCCCCTCCCAGTGAGCTGTGGTGTTCCACAAGGAAGCATATTAGGTCCGTTACTGTTCCTAATTTATGCAAATGACATGTCATCAGCATGTGACTGCAACTTGTTCCTGTTCGCGGACGACTCAGCCCTGCTGGTCTCTGACAGGAGCAGATTGCAGGTTGAAAAAACCCTCAGCTCCGAGCTCGGCAGAATCTGCACCTGGCTCGCCGATAATAAATTATCATTACACCTGGGTAAAACAGAGTCCATTCTCTTCGGTTCGAAACATAATCTCAGCAAATCCGACGACTTCTCAGTTGCAGTGGGTGACATTATTGTCACAAGTAAGAAGGAAATTACATACCTAGGATCTATTCTTGAGGCAAACCTCTCCTGTGACAAAATGGCATCCAATGTAATAAAAAAAGTCAATCAAAGAACTAGATTCCTATACCGGATCTCCTCTCTGGTAAACAAAAACACCCTGAAAACTCTGGCAGGAGCACTCATTCAAGGGTACTATGACTATGCTTGCACGTCATGGTACCATAGCACCTCCAAGGCGCTAAAAATAAAACTTCAAACATCGCAAAATAAACTGGTCAGACTACTGCTTGACCTTTCATCTAGAACCCACCTCACCTCTGCCCACTTTGACAACCTAGGATGGCTTAGAGTAGACGACAGAGTACAGCTACTTGCAATGGGCCTGGTCTACAAGATCCACTACACCTCTATGGTACCCATGTACATGTCAAAATTCTTCCCAAAGGTCAAGGAATACCATGATCATAACACCAGAGGGAGCTCCACAAATCATGTAAAACCCAGATTTGGCACAAAAAAAGGGGAATACACGTTTCGCAATTATGCCACATCAAGGTGGAACGCTCTTCCCACAACTGTAAAGGAAAGTAAAACTATACTTACCTTCAAAACCTCTCTTAAAGAGCACCTTCGGGGGAAAGCATTGCAAAACTGGCCCCGGTAATGGTACAAATCTCAACCTGTCGTACAATGGACAGCTTCCCCCCCCCATCTATGTATATACTCGCATTTTAGACTCTGTTACTAACTGTATATCTGTAGACTTGGTATGTCTTAAAATGTCCTGTTAGGATGTATTAGAACGAAATCTAAAATGAAAATTGTAAATAAGCCATCTGTATGTAAAAAACCACCTGTATGTAAATTGTAAATAAGCCATCTGTATGTCAAATATGTCTTATATGTCTTAAATGATATGATGAATTGGAAATGGGGGACCCTGATGTAAACAAGACGAAAGTCTTTCTCTGGTCTGCATCCCCTTAACAATTGTATGTTTTGAGCTGTACTGTACTGTACCCAATATACAAGCTGTTAATAAACTTTTCAATCAATCAATCAATCCTCTGTTTTGTTACCTGTACACGTTTCCCCTTGTCCTTGAAGGTAACACAGATTCTGAGCAAAGGCCACTTTCCTTCTCTCTTTTCTCCTGGACTCCCTCCTGAGAGCAGCTACCCGTATAGGCCTTCCTTTGGTATATATATATCTCCTGTCTCCCACCACCTCCACAGTGTCCAGAGGACTCCTGTCTCCCACCTCCTCCACAGTGTCCAGAGGACTCCCCAGGACAGAGCTTCCTTACCAGTCTGTTCAGTCTCTTCCTGTCAGCAGCCGAGATGCTGCTGCCCCAGCAGGCCACACCATAGAAATGGCTGATGCCACAACAGAGTCATGAAATGTCTGAAGGAGTGCCCCGAAGTACCCCGAAAGACCTCAGTCTCCTCAGCAGAAAGAGTCTGCTCTGTCCCTTCTTGTGCAGAGCAGCAGAATGATCAGTCCAGTTTATTATTCAGATGAACACCCAGGTATTTGTAAGATTTCACAATCTCAACTTCCGCTCCCTGGATGTTCACTGGTGTCGGGGGGGGGAGTGTTGGCGCCGTCTGAAATCCACCACCAGCTCCTTGGTCTTCCCTGCGTTGAGCTGGAGGAGGTTCCTCTGGCACCAGAGGGTGAAGTCCTGCGTCAGCTCTCTGTACTCCCTGTCGTCCTCGTTGGAGAGGCCAACGATGGCGGAGTCGTCAGAACTTCTGCAGGTGACAGGTTGCAGTGTTGTGGGTGAAGTCTGCAGTGTAGAGGGTGAAGAGAAACGGTCCAGCACCGTCTCCTGGGGGGTATGAACAGATTAGTAACTAACCACACAAAGATTGAAGTTAAAAGACTTATTTAATGTGCATCTGGAAAGCTTTGCTATTCTCTTACAGTACTTTACAATATTTCAAAAGGTCACGTTTTAATACAAAGTCAAACAAAAACAATAATCTAAACTAATATTTCTGATTCCAGCTAATCAATAACAATTAGATTCAAGAGAGGATTTCTGTGTGAGGGTGAAGGTTTAGAAATGTATAATCTGAGAATAGGAGGCGTTGTTCTGATAAATAACGTGAGGAATATTAACGATAAATACAGATCGAGGCACTTGCTGAATCCATCGTTTTCTGACACACATTTCTCCGTACACACTTATAACAAGCTATAAATAATCATAAACAATAAACAGTGCAACAATTCTCTGTGTTAAAAAAAGGAATTGAAATATAGAATGAATACTGTGGCGCTTATCGTGTTTATAAGATATATGAATTCAAGACGCCCGTATACAAGATGGCGCTGTGACTTCCCGATATCCGCCATTTTGGAGAGCTATGTACGGCAACCCAAGTAGGACATTTGACACAGAAGCGTTTCACAAAGAAGAGAAAAAAACTCAATAATCCCGACAACCTAATTATTTTTATTTCAACGTAATTTCCCGATGATTTGAGAATAACTCCTTTTAGTGGGTTGAGTACATTCAATCATTTATGGCATTAATAATTTATATATAATTCTTAACTGTGAATGTCTTTCATTCTATGTAAAATCTCTGTTGAGATTCCTGGAAAAAAGGGAAATGACATAAAATATTTTCCATTAAAAAGTTCATTCAAGACAAAAACTCTGTTATTAAATCTGTATTTTTCTTAAAAGACAATTATTATTAAATCTGAAAGGTCTTTCCCAGCTTTGTAATTTCTCTGTTATCGTATTTCTTATCGTTTATAAGTTTATGGCAGACCAACACATTCTTGTGCAGTGCAACTCAGGCAGCCGCCTGGACGTCAAATGTCCTATTTGGGTTGCCGTACGTAACTGTCCAATATGGGGGGAATGATTACCCGATTTTACGAAGGGCAACCCAAATAGGACATCATAGAAATTACAAAGCTCGGGAAGCTCTTTGAGATTTAGCAATGATTGTCCTATAATAAAAAAACAGAGATTTGTTTTTAATGAAATGTCCCTTTTTTCCAGGAATCTCAACAGAGAACATTTTGGCCTAGACTAAAACATTTAAGATTTTACATAAAATGAAAGACATTCACAGTTAAGATATTAATTATTAATACCATAAATGATTGCTACATTTACAGTTTCTTATTTCTGCAGTTTGGTAGTTGAAGTTAAATCCATTTCTCACTTATAATAAGAATGTAATCAACCCACTAAAAGGAGTTCTCAAATAATCGGGAACTCGCGTTGTAATAACAATAACTCATCTCTCTCGCTCAGATTCAAAACATTTAAAGTAAATTAAAGACCTATCTTTTTAATTTGGCTTATGATTTGGGGCAACTGTAATTTGTTAGTAGAATCACTTTTCATGTTTTAAGATTAGGGCTGTCAAGTTAACGCGTTAATAACGCGTTAACGCAAAAAAAAATTAACGGGTACTTGGGGTACCTCAAGGCTCCATCTTGGGGGCCTCTTCTCTTTAACATCGACATGCTACCACTGGCTCAGATAATGAAGAACAACAAAATAAGTTACCATAGCTATGCGGATGACACACAAATTTACGTAACAATTTCACCAGGAGATTATGCTCCAATTCAAACACTGAGTAAGTGCATTGAACAAATCAATGACTGGATGTGTCAGAACTTTCTCCAATTAAACAAAGATAAAACTGAGGTAATGGTTTTTGGAGCCAAGGCAGAACGTATAAAAGTTAGCGCTGAGCTTCAGTCTGCAATGTTCAAAACAACAGATAAAGCCAGAAATCTAGGTGTAGTCATGGACTCTGACCTGAGTTTCAACAGTCACATTAAAACAGTTACTAAATCAGCCTACTATCACCTAAAGAACATATCTAGGATTAAAAGACTAATGTCACAGCAGGATTTGGAAAAACTTGTCCATGCTTTTATCTTTATAAAGCTTTATCGACTACTGTAATGGTGTCTTTACAGGTCTCACAAAAAAATCTATTAGAAAGCTGCAGCTAATTCAGAACGCCGCTGCTCGAGTCCTCACTAACACTAAGAAAGTGGATCACATCACTCCTGTTCTGAAGTCCTTACACTGGCTTCCTGTGTGTCAACGAATAGATTTCAAAATATTGTTGCTGGTTTATAAAGCTTTGAATTGTTTAGGCCCAAAATACATGTCTGACCTACTGCTAAATTATGAACCATCCAGAACTCTCAGGTCTTCAGGGACTGGTCAGCTTTCTGTCCCCAGAGTCAGAACTAAACATGGTAAAGCAGCATTCAGTTATTATGCTCCAAATATCTGGAACAAACTCCCAGAAACCTGCAGGTCCGCTGCAACTCTTACTACTTTTAAATCCAGGCTGAAGACTTTTCTTTTTGCCGCTGCTTTTAATTGAACTATTCACATCTTAAACTGCACTGTAACTTTTAACTTTTATCCATGTATTTTTTCTTGTAATGTTTATTTTATTATCTTTTCTTTTAATGACTGATTTTAAATGCCATTTTCATAATGTCTTCCATTTTTGTAAAGCACTTTGAATTGCCTTGTGTTGAAAGGTGCTATATAAATAAACTTGCCTTGCCTTGCCTTGCCTTGCCTTGCCACTAATTATTTTAACGCGATTAACGCATGTGTATCTTTTGTCCTCGGCCGCCCCGTAGTTTCAGAGCGCATCGAGTTTAAAATACCATCTCCAAGCTGATGCTGACAGCCCCGCTCCTGCCGCCAACTTGTGGCAGACCACACTTCCACGCTCACCGGCAGGCCCGGACTGGCCATCGGGAGGACCGGGAGGGTGTGGGTGTGTGGGTGTGTGTATGTGTGGTGCGAGCGAGGCACACCTTACGTGTTGTTAGCATCTGGTGCTAGCTAGCTGCGCTAACGGATATAAGGAGCTGTTTCAATGAAAACAGAGGAGCGACATTTCGCCGACAACTGCGCCGAGCACTTGACTTTATGCAGGTAGCCAGACAGTGGGACATTGTACGAAAAGTCAGCGCACTCAGCACGGATAGTGCGCGCAACATGATTGCAGCTCCCGTTCGAGCATATATGCCTTGAGCTGCACATAGCTCCAACGATCCATCACAGTGTCTCCCCATTCTCACACACACACACACACACACTTTGTATTGTATTATTGCATGAGAGAGAGGCGAATATTTGTAATGTTCAGGTTGTTGTGTTTAATATTCATGAGAATATTTGTCATTGTTCAAATGATAATAAACAAACATATAAAGCATATTTGTCCACTCATATGTTGATAAGAGTATTACAAACTTGAAAAATATCCCTCTAAGGTACATTTAGAACAGATAAATGTGCGATTAATTTGCGATTAATCGTGATAAACTATTTTAATCGACTGACCGCCCTATTTAAGTATAACTCTTTCTGTTTGTTTATACCTTGTTTTTAATTATTGCTCATTTGTTATTGTCATTTTCTGTCATTTTCTGTAAAAGCGCTTCAAGCTTGAAAGGTGCTCTATAAATAAAGTTTATTAGTAATGTCGTCTGTTTTTTTGAGCGTTCTTTTCTCTTTTTTGTGAAACGCCGCTGTGTGAAATGTCGTCCTTGGGTTGCCGTACTTTGCTCTCCAAAATGGCCGACCAACTCTTTTTGACTGGTCATATTTCTGGAGTAATTATACAGTTTTTGAGGAACAGAAATGTTGTTTTCTTGCATCACTTTAACATTTTAAAAAGGTGCTGGTGTGTAAGCAAACTGGGAATAATAAGCTAAATATATATATATACGTTAAGTCCTCCAGGAACAACTGAATTTTATTTAATAAATGTGACGATAAAATAAAAAACTGCTAAATATTCTCTTATCTTCCTACAGCAGCGTATTACTGAAACACCTAGGATTGTGTACATTAAAAAATAATAATGTAAAACCTTTAAAATAATAACGTACAGAGCACAGATTAAAATCAGTCCTGTAGTAATTATCTGAATATTTCTAAATTAAAGGTGGGGTAGGTAAGTTTGAGAAACCGGCTCGAGATCGCTAGAATTTGAAAATACACAACCGGAGAAAATCTGCCACTTCCTTACAGAGCCCCTCCTCCAACACACACGAACGTGCACATGACCAATGAGGGCACGAGATAAGTTTGTGCACAGATGGAAGGCTGACAGGCAGGTAGGCCATCCAGTTATTTTCGCCGGGCCGGCTCAGATGATTGGTCGTGCTTTTTACAGTACTACGGCTTCCACAGATGACATGTTTTATGGATTTTTTGTCAAAGCACTTCAGATATTCATTGCTATCGGGATGTTAAGAGCATTCCATGGAATATAACAAAAAGTGTATCTCGAGCCGGTTTCTCAAACTTACCTACCCCACCTTTAAGAGTGACTTTTTTATCCAATATCACCTCCTCAGTTTCCCCTCTATACATTCAAATGAATACAAATTAAGGTTTATATCTTCTCTCTTAGCCGTAGTGCTAATTATTAGACTTTTCTACAACCAATATATTAAACATTTGACTTTAAAAATGTATGAATGGCACTACAGGTAAGAGAAGAAAGGTGTATTTTAATTATGATTATGATTTTAAAGGGTTTAATTATAATCTTTATCCAATATTTAATACTTCTGAATGAATCCAAACTACTTTTGAAATGTGAACAGTGCAACAACGATGTAGAAAAACTGGTATCATCGTTCTTTAAAATGTATTTTCTCCACTATCAATGCTATGCTAACACGCAGTCTGCAGCGCTGGAAGTAATAAAAGTTGTATTTCTGCTAAAACTAAACCTCTGAAATATAAATGTTCCCACAGACTTTGAAACCTAATGTGTTATCTTTGGTTGGAGCTTCTCCTTTTTCAAACCTTTCCTCCTAAATGTGAGTTCAAAGCTCTGATTATCTCCTGAACAAAGACTATGAACATATTCATCATCATCTGTTTATAAGTGACTGTTATTTTTGTATATATTGACTCTTGTGCCTTTATATTTTCATGTTGTATTGATGCCTCTTAATGTGGGACTTTGTATACATGTGTAAATGTTTGATTATGTAGATATCTTTAAATATTTTAACTTTTATTCATCGGGATTGTGAGAAACAGCATTTCTAAGATGTGGAAAATACAGCTAAATATGAACTTTTAATAAAGATGTATCCTGTGTATGCTCTGGTATCATGAGAATGAGTTGTTTATATTCCCAGGAATGGCTTTGAGGATACAAATTAGTAAAACAATGGACATTTAATCGCTGATTTTGCTGCAAAATGACTAAAAATCAACGTGTTTTATAACTTTGCAGCTCCCTTTTTCCTCTCATTACAGCAGCAGTCGAGTGCTTTCACCTTTCCAATCTAATTCAATATTCATAATATTCCAGCTTTTCTTGCAGCCCCACCAAAGCAGCTGTGAGAGCATTAAAACAGACATTTACATGTGTTAAAACATGCTTAATCTAAACACATCCTACAACATACCTCACTTTCTGTTTCCTCCCATTCCTCATTACCTCAAACATTAAATCAAAATCAAAGCACTTTCTGTTTAACCAATTTAAATCTAGAGTATCCTCTCCTCTGAGATTAAGCCACTTGTTGAAGGACTTCTCCCTAACCCTAACTCGTTACTCTTTACATTACTTTTGCGTTACTCAGCAACAGCCTAAAGCCACATGTGCACACATATAACAATTACTATTGCAATAAGGAAGACATAACACAAGTTAATGACGGTGAACATTCTAGTTTTTGCTGCTTGTTCGGAGTGTCTGTGTCTCGTTTTCTGTTCACTTTTGTTTTTGTTTTATAGGAAGAAACCTGCAAAAACCCAGATAGACTTCATGACGAGGGGGAGAAGAGTAACATCAGAGAACAGCTGGATCAACATCAGTCTACAGCCATGATAGCAAAATCTTTCACCTGTGACCAGTGTGAGAAGAGTTTCTGGAGTTCAGGGACTTTGAAGCGCCACAAACGTACCCACACTGGAGAAAAACCTTTCACCTGTGACCAGTGTGAGAAGAGCTTTAGCCGGTCAGGCCATTTGAAGATTCACCAGAGAACCCACACTGGAGAAAAGCCCAACTATTGTGACCAGTGTGAGAAAGGTTTCAGGGACTCATGCAGTATGAAGCTCCACCAGCCTACCAACGACGGAGAGAAACCTGACGTCTGTGCTCACTGTGAGAATAGTTTCAGAGAACCAGACCACTTGAAGATCAGCATACCGCACATGGGAGAAAACCTTCACTATTGCACTGAGACTGTTCAGAAAGAGTGAGGTGGACTGCTGGACACAACTCGCTGTTAAAAGACGTTGTGTGGATTTTAAAAGTTGTTAAATTGTTCTCAATAAAATGAATATGCATTCACTTAAAGGTGGGGTAGGTAAGTTTGAGAAACGGGCTCGAGATACACTTTTTGTTATATTCCATGGAATGCTCTTAACATCCCGATAGCAATGAATATCTGAAGTGCTTTGACAAAAAATCCATAATAAAAATTCATCTGTGGAAGCTGTAGTACTGTAAAAAGCACGACCAATCATTTTAGCCGGCCCGGCTAAAATAACTGGATGGCCTACCTGCCTGTCACACACTGTCACACACTTATCTCGTGCCCTCATTGGTCATGTGCGCGTTCGTGTGTGTTGGAGGAGGGGCTCTATAAGGAAGTGGCAGATTTTTTCCGGTTGTGTATTTTCAAATTCTAGCGATCTCGAGCCGGTTTCTCAAACTTACCTACCCCACCTTTAAATTCAGGTGTGTGTTTCCCCTGCCTTTCGCCATGTTCTTAATTCCTCCTTTCACAAAACTCCCATCCCGGATCTTGTCTGCACTGACAAGCTTCTTTTCTATAGCAGAGCAACAGAAGAAGCAGACCGCATTATCACTTTCTCTTATATAGTGAAGCTTTTTATAGACTGCTTACACTAAAATGCTAACTCAAAAATAGTAACTCAAAATAAAACTTTTGTATTGATTTGTTTAGCGAACTTTTTGGCGTTGCAGTTACAACTCTCCGCCAACAGATGGGGGTGCTGCAGCCCCCTCAGCACCCCCCCTTCCCGCGTCCCTGTCTTCCTCCCACCTTTTCTGCCATATTTCCATACCCTTCTTCTTAATTATTGCTTTTCCTTCTCCTTTCCCAAGTGAAACTGGTATTGCTATTTCCTTTTGTAACGCATCTTTTGCTAACTTATCAGCATGCTCATTCCCTTGAACCCCCTCATGTGCAGGCACCCAGCATAACTGCACATCTATTCCCCTCCTCTGAAGTCTCAGTAAGCAGTGGTTAAGTTCAATGATTAAATCTTCTCTAACAGTTATTGTTGACGAGTCTGTGCTGCTGTGCATATCACCACCCTATCAGGTCTGACCTCTTCAACCCATTGTAGCCCAATAATTGCTGCTAGTATTTCTGCTGTATAAACTGATAAGTTATTTGACACTCGTTTTGAGATTGATATTTTGAATTCTGGGATATACACGCCTATCCCCACGCATTCTTGCTTCTTAGATCCATCTGTGTAAATGTTGAGGTAATTGTTATACTTTTCGTTCAGGTACATACTCGTTTTAATTACCACTTCATTTATTTCAACATGATCAAGATAATGACCCCATAATGACCGCCTCGCTGCACATTATCCCTCATTTATTACACAGTTTAGTTGAATACGAGTCGATTCTGATTGGTGGATTCACAACATGTGACACGTTGTTAATCTAGTAGTACAGACCGCTGATTAATGATAATAATATAAATAATTAATAATTACTAAATAATATATTCTGGATGTTTTCTTTCCACTATTATGGAAGCAGCTTGTCTCAAAGGGACATTGTTTTTTTAATCTTTTTTGTACATTTTATAAATTAATTTTAATAAATTGAATCCTGAGTTTTGTTGATTGTTGAGCGTAATAGAGGAATATGATTTGCATAAAAAGCCTTAGCCCTTTTCAATGTATTTTTGTTTATTTTGTGTTTTGTATGCACCTGCTCCTAAGGGTGAATCATGAAATATCTGAAAGCCAAGTTGTATTGTTCTTGTCGATGTTTCAATTGTAAAAAGGTATTTTACAACCACCAGATGGTAGTGTCGACCTGCTTAATGCTTACATGTATTCTGCAGCTCACACACTGTTGAAATGAAATGAGGCAGAACTGTTGAATTTCGCAAACTAAAGCAAAATAGACTGATTGTAAAATGAAGCTGCTAGATGAATAATGGCGTAGCCTCAGACACTTACCTTCACAGCTGATCTTTTTTTAATGGACGCATGTCCATTACGCAGCTGCACGAAGTGACACATTTCTATAATAATCTTGTACATGATCCGCATTTAGGGAAGTTCATCATCGCTTATAGTTTGCTCAAAGTGCAGCATTGTCGTTAAGATTTAGACAATATAAGATAAGATAAGAGGTACTTTATTGATCCCAAATTAGGAATTGTTTGCGTTGCAGCAGCATAAAAAACAAGGCATTGCACAGAAGTAGAAATAACTATTCTAAAATGTAAACATCTCAAAATAGAAATAAAACAGAAAATATAAACAGTGTAACAAATGTCTTCGTCTTCATTTCTCATCTTTACATTTCCCTGATTCTGAAGAGGTGTTTTCATGACTGCGTGCGCGTTCATGTGCGTTCAGTAAGTGCCGGCCCGTGCGCATACCCATCAGCTCTTTGTGACAGTCAGTAACCCATAGTAACCCGCCGTACAGTCAGCCTCCTTCCAGCTGGGCCCGGCCCTCAGCTCAGCACGCGCCACCTCCACGAGTCCAATCATAATGAAGACAAGCCCCGCCCCCCCCCCCCCCCCCTGATTGTCACTTCCGGTCTGCGGAGAGCAGCTCAGAGCCGGTGGTGCTGCAGCCGAGCGGTGAGTTTATTTCTCATTTATCGAAATGTTTTTATGATGCTACTTTATTCCCACGTGAGTCAGATGCTGTAGTTTAACACCCCAACAAAAAGATTGTGAAAGTTGGAGTCTATTCTAAAAAATATACATAAATACAGTGGTGGAAAGTAACTAACATTGACTCAAGTACTATACATTTCTAAATAACTACTTTAATCAGGTTATGCTATTCTATATTTTTTTACTTGTACTATTTACTCATTAATTTGATAGTCTTGGTTTCAGATTTATTTAATTAATACCAAATAATAATAATAAATCGATGTGTTATTATGGTTACGGCTGGTAAACCTGGTAAAGTAGGCTAATTGTAATACCACCTTTACCTAGCTCAACATGAAATATATGAACACATTAATGCAATGTAATATAGCCTATATTTAATTCTTAATTTAGTACACTGTTGCATGCTGGACTTTTACTTGTTACAGTATTTTAACACTG